TTCAGAAGTCACAGCACTGAAGGACTCAGATTGCGGCTGTGGTGATCTCAAAACTCAGGTGAAAACATCACATATAAATAAATATAGGAGCAATGCAATAGAATACTAATCAGCCACATAAAGAAATAAAAGCTGGTCATTTATAATAACAGGGATGAATGTGGAGGGCATTGTATTATAGGCCAGACAACCAAAACACTACCACAAGGTCTCACTTGTATGTAAGATCTAAAATGATCGATTTTAAAGAAATAGAGAGCAGAGGTAGGAACTGGGAACAAAGATGAGGATCACAATTAGACTTAGACAGCCCAGGAAAAATAGTTACAACTTTGTCTCAAAAAACAAGGCAGGGGGCTGGGAAGGTGGCTCAGTGGTAGAGCGCTTGCCTTGCATGCCTGAGGCCCTGGGTTCGATTCCTCAGCACCACATAAGGAAAAAAGGAAAAAAAAGCCAGAAGTGGTGCTGTGGCTCAAGTGGTAGAGCACTAGCCTTGAGCTGAAGAGCTGAGGAACAACGCCCAGGCCCAGAGTTCAGGCCCCACGACCGGAACCAAAAAAAAAAAGCAAGGCAAGTGTGTAGTGGTACATGCCTGTAATCCTAGCTACTTTGGAAGGGCAGGGGGGAAGACAGAGTCCCAGGCTAGCCTCGTGCAAAAACCCATAGAATAGCCCAAACCGTAGAATGTTTGACAAGTAACTTCAAGCCCTGAGTTCAAATACCAAGTAACATGGTGCAGGGCCGGAGAGGGTGGGGGAGGGGGAGAGGGAGAGAAAGAGAGAGATTGAGCAGAAAGGTGGTTTCCAGAGCCTAGGGTAGGGGAGAGGTTGATCAATGGATATGAAGTTACAGTTGGGGAGGAGAGAAGTTTTGGGGTGCTATTGTACAGTAGGGGGGACTTTAGTTCTCAAAAATGCATTATTAACTGGGAGAGAGTGAGGGAAGGGTTGATATTATCCAGAAAGAAACATACTGGTTACCTGATTACATAACTGTAATCCCTCTGCATATCACCTTTCTGATGATAATATATAAAAAAGAATGGATTACATATTTCAGAACAGCCAGGGGAGAGGCTTTGTAGCCCTCCTTCTGCTCACCATCCACCACGAGCCCATCCACGCTGACAGGAGCCTGCACGGTGATTTCAGCTCAAGCAGAAACCTCAGGCTTCTAACCCTGTGGCCAAATAATCCTTCCTCCCTTCACAAAAAAGAAAAAGAGAAGAGTTCTCTCATCACAAAAGAGGATGCTCCGCGTTTAAAGTGGGCTCACACCCGTCATCCTAGCTGAAGGACTTGCCTCTCCCCTCTTGGCCCAATCATTTTATGTGTCTAAAGATGGAGTCTGAAAGATCAACCTCCACCCTATTGTCCCAGGCCCATACAGACGCCAGGCAAAGCCCACGTATGTGCCAACTTGTTTGATGTGCAGGCAAGGCAACCCACCAAAGCCTGGCTGTAGACATCCCATTGTGGGCCCAACCGAAAAGCCCCCACCTCCCTTGACCTGGTGGCTTTTTCCTTCACCTCTGCCTCCTGCCTCGGACCTCCTATAAAAACCCAGCTCCTTTCCAGCTCTCTGGTACCACCTCCAAACCTGTGGGAAGGTCTGTGCCCCTGGCTGCTCCTCCATAAACGGCCCTCACCTATTGATGACTGAGTCCTGCCTGTTCCTTTTCCCTTCTCCATTTTCCCAACACTCACTACTCGGGATGAGATCTGAGGATCACAATTCAAAGCCAGCCCGGGCAGGTAAGTTCATGAGACTCTTATCTGCAATTAACCACCAAAAAGCCACAAGTGGTAGAGTGCCAACCTTGAGCAAAAAAAAGCTAAGGGACAGTGCCTGGGCCTTGAGTTCAAGCCCAAGTATGGACACACACACACACACACACACACACACACACACACACACCACGAGGTAAACTGTTTACAACAGCTCTCTCACTGCAGCCTCAGGACCAACACTGGAAGGAACTGTAGAACATTTGTCCACCTGCCACCTGCTGCCCTCGCTGCCCGGGCAGCCACGTGTAACCTGACTCTCCTCCTGCCCCAGGCCCCACAGCCCAGCCATTGCAGCCCCCACCCAGGCCTGGCCTGACAGGGCGCCCCACGTCCTGAGCGCTTCTGGGAAGGTAGGTGCCGTTTCTCCCGTCCTGCTGAGCCATTTCTGTGGGCATCCATAGCACCCTGGCCAGGGGGCAAAGGGCAGAGGACCCCAGGCCTGCACCCCACCCTCTCTATCCCAGCCACATCTTCCTCTTTGTCACATTCACAGCAACTGCACACAGGAACTGCAGCAAGGCGCACAGAGCCATGGGTAACGCAGCCCTAGAGATGCGGCGAGTGACCTGAGCACTCCCCAGGGCGGACTGGCAGCCTAACCTCAGGGCAGCCTCCATGCTAGGAGCCCATGGTCAGCCCTGGGAGTCTGGGGGAGGGGGAGGGTGGAGGCACAGCAGCAGGCTGGCTCCCCCCGCCTGCTCCTGGACAGGTCTGCACACTCCCCCATTCCACACAGGTCTGTCCCCTGGAGCGTGGAATCACCCAATGAATACTGCAGCAAAGGGAACCAGGCAGCTTCCTTCCCCTCTCTTGTTTTCAAGGTTCTGCATTTGGCCAAAGTTCTTCCCCCTCCCTCCATCCTCCCCCCGCCACACACACCTCCAATCCACCTGTCTCAACCAGAAATTTTTTTCGTTGTTACCATAACACTTGCTTATAGAACATTCCAGCGACAGGAGAGGACAGCATAAGATGGAAAGTCAGATCCTACTCACTCATCATCACCACACCACTGGCCTCCTCAGAGAGGACCACTGTTAAGAATGTTGGGGTCTCCTTCCAGGCCTTCCCTAAGTGAGAATACAACAGGTTGTTGCCAGGTGCTGGTGGCTCACGCCTGTCATCCTAGCTACTCAGGAGGCTGAGATCTGAGGATCACGGTTCAAAGCCAGCCTGGGCAGGAAAGTCTGTGAGAGTCCTATCTCCAGTTAACCACCAGAAATCTGGAAGTGGCACTGTGGCCCAAGTGGTAGAGCGCTCGCCTTGAGCTGAAGACCTCAAAGACAGTGTCCAGGCCCAGAGTTCAAGCCTCATGACTGACAAAAAAATAAAATAAACCCAGCAGGTTTTTCCCAGAATTGTTTTTGTCCTCCAGAATTGTCGTCAGTGGCTCATCGGATTCGCTCTCAGGGAGCTGTCAAAGAACACAAAGGGCCAGACAGGAGCTGGCTGTTGACAATCACATCAGAAAAGCCCCTGATGCTGCTGCTAACATACGATTTTTCCTCCCAAATCCTTGCTCGCATTCTATGGTGGTGTTGGCTTGGAGAAAAGCTCCTGAGCAGCGTGAGCTCAGTCCCTATGGTTTAAAGTCAGTCTGTTTCCTTTCCATACCGCAGATCAGAGCTGATCCCCGTCGTGAGGTGCTCAGCGCAGGCAGCTTAACCCACCGTGGTGTTTATAGGCAGAGACAGGATCCAAGGCTGATGGTTTTAGGAGTGCCTACTTCTCCTTCCCCACTTCATGCATTAATCAGCTCCAACTGCCCTCTGCTGGTGTGTTATGGAACTGTCTTGGGAAAAGACAGGCTGGATTTAATTACTAATCACCAGGCTGAGATCACCAGCTGCACTCTAAGTCACCTGTGCCCACCTGAGCACAGGCAGCTAGGATACCGCTCTCAGATCTGTCCCTTACGTCTTTTCACTCTTCCTTAACATCTGCGCCATCTTAACGTTGTCAACTCGCAGGAGATTTGCTCAGTGCTAAGTCCACAGAGGCAGCTTTGGAGGAGGAGAGGGGGTACTGAGCCTACAACCCGGTGGATGGATGTTGATCTAAAGTTCTCAATCTTTAAGAGATGTAAATGTTAATCTCCTCAATCTGATCATTGTACTCTGCAACATGTGACAAATGATCATTTTCCTCTCCCACAGATTTGTATAATTGAAACATTATTTTTTTAATTCCCTTGCTGGCTGTGTCTTGATATGTCACCACCTGACACGTTGCTTTGCATGAAAGTAAAGGGCTCAGAAAGGTAAATAGAAAGCGCTGAATCGCAGGACACACAGATAGGTCAGCTTGGCCTCTGCTGTGCCTGGTGAACAAAAGGTTGGTTTCATTGGGGAAAGAAGAAATTCTGAAAGTTGTGTGGGAACAAGTTCATTGCCAGCAGCCACTGCTGCTGGATGGCGCTTGTCTTAAAGCCACGGCAGGTGTGCAGTTGATATGGCTTTTGGGGCCTCTGGAAGCAGGCGTTGGTCAGCTTCGCGTGTTCCCGGTGGCTTTGTGGCTGTTTGGTTACAGGTGACAGGGCTGGCTCCAGAGTGCGCAGTCTCTCCCCCGAAGGGCACCAGGGAATGAGCTGTGCTCTTAAGTCTACAAAGAGCAAGATGCCAGCCTGGACTTGCTGGGCCAGCAGCTGGTGGATAGCACAGACAGGGAGGGGACAGATAAAAGGACCCAGCTCTCGCCAAGGGCACTTGGTAAGAGGAAGCACTGTCAAATAGTAAGCCCGCCTTATTCGAAGATGACAGGGGATGTAGATGGTGCAGAGATCAATAACGACAAAAAGAATTAAAAAAAAAAAAAAAGTAATTACACAGCTCCACTGATAGGAGGACGCTGGGTCTCAGCTGTGTTTTGGTGGGGTGTGACTGGCAGGCACACTTTCCCTTCATTTTGTGAAATAAATCTCCCAAAGTAAAATGTGTCTAGCAGGCTTAAGTGATAGTTTTAGATTTGTTGGAAGATTGCATGTCTTTAAAGTTGGGGGGGAGCATTATGAGGAACAATGAATGAAGCACCCACAGTCCAGCGCTGAGCTCTCTGCACCCCGAGCATTCGTGGGTTTTTGTCAACCAAGGTCCCCTTGGATACAGACGCAATGGCTACCAAGGATCTACCACCATTTATATACCATGCAATTAATTATTCACCTGGTTAAAGCATGTACCACCTATTCAAAAAAACACAAAGAAGATTTTCTTTTTATGTACTTAGGTTTATGAAATCCTATTGAAAACAGAATTATTCACGATTTTTCTTTGAAACATTTTAAAAAATTTCTGCACTGCTCTTTGTACAGATGTATCACCTGGTATCTGTATAAATGTGAGGGACAGTTAATAAGCACCTTCAGTGGTTTCCACAGCTTCAGAACTTATGTAAAACATCTTAAGATGAACCTAGTAACAAGAATAAAAACAGCCACAAAAACTATACATGGGGGTCAGTACTTGTTATAGAGAGCTTGATATGTAAATGATAAATACCAAAAAAAAAAAAGTGAAAGTCAAGGGGCTGGCTACATACAAGACCCACATGTTCCCCAACTCTCGTGATTCTTGGGGGTACAGTTGTCTCTCAGAACAGCTTCCAATCCTGTAAGGTAAGATTGTCTTCCAGGTGCTCAGGTCCTCCTGAGCATGGGAGAGAAAGGCGAAAGCAGGGGCGATGGAGAGGCTGAGTGTGGGGGGCCGGCAGTGGAGGGGGGGCTCTCCACCCGAACCAGGGAAATTCTTCATTCATAAGCATTCTTCAGTGCAATGGACTGGCTCATCTCTGGGGTTATTTCAGGATTTCCTCCCTCCTTCCTCCAGGTTTTCCACCCCTGTTCTCCATCAGTCTCTCTGTGAAGCTCACACTAAAGCTTCTGCACTTCCTCACCCCCACGTTCTACTGACCGAAACTCCTCAGCTTTCAATCCACCATCTCCACTGGCTTAAGACTCTGGGAAGCAACCAGAAAGGTCAGTTCTAGAAACACCCCTGTGACCATACCAACACGGTCCCCTGAATTAGCCCAATGAGCAAAGGTCTAGAGCATCAGGAGAAATGCTCAATTAGAACTTTCTGGACTGTATCTTTAGATTAAAAAAAACAACAACAACAAAAACTGCCAACAATGGCCAAGCTAGAGGGGTCAATGAAAAAGCAAGTTCATGTCTAAAAGTGTTCTCAGACACAAGGCCCGGGAGGGGAGGGTGGGGAGGGCAAGGTAGCAGGCCACCGCGGATGGCCCCCACGAGGAGGCTGGACATGGGTGCCAAGAGCAGGCACCGGACACCACATGCCGAGATGCAGGTGCTCTGGGCAAAGGGGAAGCACTCGGTAATGTTTGGCATAATTTAAGCTGTATAAAAACGGTGCCCTAGGCTCAGACATCTTCCTCTGTATCTTAACATTGCTTCGACTTAACTTCCTCCTTCTTTGACTTAAGCCTTTAACAATCTAAGCATTCCACTGAAATCCCAATAGTCTATCTGAGGGGTGACATCAGGAGGACAGGGCGGGGCGGGGCGCGATGGAAAGGCCAGGCATTCCGCGGCAGGGATCCAGAAAGGATGGAGGTGTATGGGGTAGAAGGCTGGGAGTACAGGGAAACCAGCACCAACAGAGTCCCGGAAGGGTAGTGCCCTCCTTCACTGCCTTGTCAAGGCAGGCCCTGGCTTTTATGCTGAGCTACTGGGCTGGTGAGTGCATTAGCATAAAAGCTGAGCCCAGAAGGCACCAGAAGGCACCGGAAAGGATGCATGTGGTCCGTGGAGGGCAGCCAGGAGGGGGCGTGTGTGAGGACGCAGGAGCCGGTGCATCACGTTCACTCCAGACTCCAGAAGCTTGTGTGATCATTGGAGTCTGGCCCTCACATGGGGGCGGGGACACCCAATGAGGAGGGGTGGGGGGAAGGCTGTTGGGCCCAGGCTGGGCCTAGTGGTCTCTCTGCTGCAGGGCAGTTTCTGGTCCAGACCAAGTGTCCTCACGTGGGGTGTGGCATGAAACACTTGGTGAGGAGACAAGGCACTCCGTCTTCACTTCCGCTCGATACAGTCGACGCCCACAGTGTTGTCCGGGCAGCTGCAGGTCCTGCTCCCCGGGGTGGCCAGGCAGAGGTGGGTGCAGCCACCATTGTTCACAGAGCAGTAGTTGTGGCCTAGAGAAAGCAGACGTCAGTCCCGCCTCTCCTCCCACCCTATCCCAAGGCTGGCCGTCCAGAGGGAGGGACTTCCTCACTAACCCCACCCAGGGTTCTAAGAAGCCAAGGGAACAGGGATCACTGTGCTAAGTACTCGCCATCCTGAGCTCTGTCACCTTGTCACTAAGGCGGTTGGGCAAGGCCTCAGACTCCTGCCTTGGATGCTCTACGGACTCAGAGGCTAAGCAGATCACAGGGAGGGCCCCCCAACTGTAACAGAGCCCTGAGTTCTGTCTATGAGGAAGGGTCTTCCTGTGGAGGCCAGGCTAAGCTCAGATTCATGATCCCCCTAGTCTCAGCCTGCTGAGGGCTGGGATTACAGATGTGCGCCACTACTCTTGCCTTCACAATCTTTCTTTTTTGGTAGTCCTGGTGTTTGAACTCAGGGCCTAGGCAGGTGTTACATTGCTTGTCCCATCCACAGGGTTAGAATTTCAAACACAAAGTCCTCCTTCTCTAGCTGGCAGTCCAGCCTCACAGCGATGGAAATCAGGAGGGAAGGCAGATTAAGGAGACCCACAAGAGGCAGCCTGGCAAGAGGCTTCTGCCTGTAGCTCTGGGTGGCCTCTGTGTGACTTTGGGCCATGGCCTTCATTTCCTCATCTTAAAACAAATATAACAACTGGGCACCAGTGGCCTGTAATCCCAGCTGCTCAGGAGGCTGAGCTCTAAGGATTGTGCTTCAAAGACAGACCGGGTAGGAGAGTCCATGAAACTCTTATCTCCAATTAATCACAGGAAAAAAAAAAAGCCAGAAGTAGAGCTGTAGCTCAAGTGGTAGAGCACCAGCCAGGAGAAAAAGGAACTCAGGGACAGCAACTAGGCCCTGAGTTCAAACCCCAGAACTGGCAGAAAAAAAAAAAAGGAGGAGGAGGAGGAGGGGTTAGGGGAGGAAGAGGAACAACAGACACAATAATGACTGGAAATGGAGCTGGGGCTCATGTGGTCGAGCGCCAGCCTTGAGCAGAAAGGTCAAGTGATAGCTCAAGGCCCAGAGTTCAAGCCCCAGTACCTGTCTGGCCTGTCTGGCCCTGAGCCCACGGACACTGTGACCCTGCCCAGGACTTCATGTCCTCATGCTGCGCTGTCAGCTGTCAGCATGCAGCTCCGGGCCAAGGACATCGGCCGCCACCCCAGGTCCCCAGGGGCGGGGCAGCAGTGAGTTACCTTGGGGACACTGCGCTAGGGCCATGGTGATGCCATAAGGCCGCGTCTGCTTGTGGGGGTGGAAGGCGTCAGTCTCTTTGGAAATGGCGAGGTCCACGGCTATCACAGAATTCCTGGAAAACAGCTGGGGGGAGTCAATACACACCGTGCTCCCAACAGCTGGAGGAGGGCCTAGAGGTGGTGGACAGGCCTGGCCTGGCCACCCTCCCTCCTCGGAAAGGGGGGGAGCGGGGGGGGGGGGGCCAGAGCCTGTAGTGCTCCAGATCTCAAGGAAGGCTCAACTTCCGGTTCCAGGCAGGCCCGGAGCTTTCACCTCCTCTGCCCAGGTCAAGAAGAGGCCTTGGCATGAGCCTCTGGCCCTCCTAGGGAGCAGCACAGTTGCGCTCAGGGAGCTCCCTGCCCCTCCCCCCCCACCCCCACCCTAGCCTTCTCCCCTGTCCCCCAGCCGTGGAGGCTCTCAGCGCAGGAGGAAGGCCTGGCCTCCCAGGGCAGCGGGTGAGCTGCAGCCCCCAAGGCGCGGCTGACTCACGTCTTCCAGTCTGTGTAATAGAGATTCTTCCCGTGGCTGGTCACAGCGAAAGGGTACTGGAGGCCTTCGAGGGCCCTGTGGCTGCCGGGCCGCTCCGGGTGCAGGCACTCTGCCCGATGGGTGCCTGTGGCCGCAGACAAACCCCTCACTGTTCACCCACACGCGGGCCCTGCGTGCCTCACAGCTCCTCGCTCAGCCTGCCGCGCCTCCCCCCTGCAGCCTCCCACCTGCAGCATGCATGCATGGACTAGGGACACCCAGCCGCTGCACACTGCTGATGACTGTCGGCCTGTGCTTGCATCTCGGGGTTCAAACCTTACTCCCTGCCCAGCCCCACAGCCGGCATCTGCCCGTGTACCCACATAGCATCAGGACTCAGAAGAGACGTAGCAGACTTACACCGAAGGGAATGGGGCTGCTTCCCCTGATGGGCATCCTGCCCCCACATCCCAGCCTGAGGGACACCCCGGGGTGTCGCTCAAGGCAGAGCAGCTGGCAGTAATTGCCTCTAAGTCCTTGGAGGCAAATGGAGCCATGCATGGCTCCACCACCTTCCTGCACTGCCATCTGAAATAAGGGCTGGCCAACTCTGTGTGTGTGCGTGTGTATATGTATGTGTGTGCGTGTGTGCATGTACATGTGTGTGGTGCATGCATGTGCGTGCATGTGCATGTCAGAACTCGGTCCTGAACTCAGGGCCTCACACTCTTACTCGGCTTTTTCACTCAAGGCAGGATCTCTACCACTTGAGCCACAGTTCCACTTCCAGCTTTGGGATGGTTTACTGAGAGACTCTTAGTTTTGTCTGCCTGGGTTGGCTTTGAACTTCCACCCTCAGATCTCCTGAGTAGCTAGGTCTAAGGTCATAAGCCACCAGTGCCCAGCCTCAGCTCTTTCTAAAAGGTCCACACAGTAATCATTTCCATTTTGCAATGTAAAAAACATCCCGAGCTTCTAGGCTACGCAAAACACAGGTGGCGGGTTAGATGTGTGTGGGAGCCTGCCACCCCCCGACTGCCATGGAGAAGCTCCCGACAGCAGGAAGCCTCCAGTCACCTGCGTCCACCCAACAGAGCTGAGATGAGAAGGGGTCGAAGGTCAGGCCGTTGGGCAGGCCCAGATTGTCCTGCGCGAGGATCCTGCGGTTCCTGCCATCCATGTAGGAAGTTTCGATTTTGGGATTATCTCTGTCCCAGTCTGTCCAGTAAAGGTTCCTGGAGGAAAAAAAGGAGGTGAATGGAACAGGAATCCTGACAGTTTAAAAGTTTAGGAAGGGAAGTGGTGCTGTGGCTCAAGTGGTAGAGTGCTTGCCTTGAGCTGAAGAGCGCAGGGACAGCACCCAGGCCCAGAGTTCAAGCCCCACGACCAAAAAAAAAAGTTTAGGAAGAACATTTTTTTGTGTGTCTGTGCCAATCCTGAGGCTTGAACTCTTGGCCTGTGTGCAGTCCCTGAGTTTTCTTGCTCAAGGCTAGCACTCTGCCCCTTGAACCACAGGGCCACTTCTGGCTTTTTTCTGAGTAGTTTTTTGGAGATAAGAAGCTCAAGGACTTTCCCCACCTGGGCTGGCTTTGAACCACGATCCTCAGATCTCAGCTTCCTGAGTAAGCTATGAGTAGCTAGGTGTGAGCCACCAGCGCCCAGCAGAACATTTGCAAAGAACCTAATGCAGGAAGTGGAGGTGTGGCTCACGTAGTAGAGTGCCAGCCTTGAGTACAAAAGCCAAGCAAAAAAAAGGATGAGGACCTGAGTCCAAAACTCAGTACTGCCACAAAGATAAAGAAAAGAACCTATGAGAAGGAACGGGAGGCCAGCAAGCAGCGAGGTGGACGGGATCTGGAGGTGACAGGGTGAATTTTCTTTGACAAGAATCCTGAGATTTAGCACCTGGCCCACAGCTGTTATTCTGCTGCCAATAAACCCAGTTCTCATTTTCATAACTGACATGGGATACTCCAAAAAAGCTGCCAACCACATTAAAACCTGCCAACGGACAGGGGCACACGGCAGGCCCAGGGAACCAGACTGGAGCGAGAAGCGGGCATTGGCAGAGGCGGCATTGGGGTCCCTGCTGCCCGGGAGGCGGGGCTGTGAGGGGACAGCCTGGTCCCGGGCAGGCTGCAGGAAGCCACCAGAAGGCATCTGCAGGATGCTGGGGCAGGGGAGGGGGGCGGGGAGGGAAGGCTGTCGCAGGCAGGAGCCAGATAGCATGTAGGTCACCCTGATACTCTTTTGGGGCTTTGCACAACCTGAGTTTTGACCTGCATCCAACCCACACAGAAGATACCCATTTCTGAGGTGTCCGCTGACAGGGTCTCTTGTAAGAGATCTGAAAACAACAAGGCACTGTGCTCTCTGGAGCGCTTGCCTGGCCCCTCGCTAGCTCGCAGGACACCCGAGGTCACCCACACCCTGTACTCGCTCATCTCAGGAGAGGAGCAAGCTAGACTTAGAACCTCACTTTGGAGATTCCTAAGGACCCGGGTGCCAACAGAGCAGAGCAGAGTACACACGCACACCGTACCCTCTCACGGGGTCCACCACGATGCCCCTGGGATTCACCAAATGCGTCTCGAACAGCACCCGGCGTTGAGTGCCATCCAGCTTGGAGACTTCTATCCGGTCCAGGTAAGAATCCGTCCAGAACAGGTTCCGGCCAAGATGGTCCACAGCAAGGCCCTCCGGACTTCCCAGATCTGCACCAAACGCAGAGCAACTCTGGTTTTCTAGGTATTCCTTCATTTCTGAGCAGGTGAGATGAGGCTCATTCTTTTTCCTTTTTTTGTGGAGTTAAGGACAGGGCCTGGGGCCTCGGGCACGCTGGGCAAATGCTAGAGGACACTTGCTGATTACACAGTGCTGTGTCCTGGGTCAGTCCTGCTACTTGGAGAAAGCAACGGGGGGATGTGAAGGGCTTCCTGATTATTGGACAAGAGAAGTAGATCATGACACCGATGAAAGACGGCTCAGACTTCAACACATGGAAAAAAGAGGAGCCCATGTTTCTGAGTGCATGAAATCACCACAAGGCAGTGAGGTCCTGCTGCCATCATCCGAACCCCCAGGGAACAACAATCTGGGCTGCGCAAAAACAGACATTCATTGCAAGTTCTCTCATTCTCCCCTGCCCTCCCCTCCTCGTGATCTTTCCTCTACAAAAATCAGGATTTAGCTTCATTTTGTTGTTAGTGTAACAGGCTTTTGCTTGGAACGCAGCTCAGTGTGCTGCAGGTTCTGGGTGATTATCAGCTCCCAGAGCAACAGGAAATAGCAGGTGATGAACTATTCCCTTCTTCCTCTGTGTTTTGAAAGCAAATCACCACAGATCATAGCAATCACATTTTTTAAAGAGACAAAGAAGAGGCAGAAAGGCGTCCTCAAACTTCTGCTCATTAAGCCAAAGCATGAAAACTAGCCATCCACTTCCAAAACGTGATTCAAATCAGATCTCAGTGCAAAGCTGGACAGAGTCCATTCGTCCTCTGCTGATCCCAGCTCTATGGACTCTAGGGCAGCGTGATATTCTTGCTCAAAGCAAGAATTATTCCCAAATCAGATGAGTAATGCCTTAGGCTACAGAGGAATGCTGACCATTTTCCCACAGGAGATTTTTGCTGCAGTGGTGGTCTGTCCTCTAGATCAAATGTGCTGTACAGAACAGCCTTGACTTGAATGGAGAGCGACAATCAATGTACATATTTATTTAGCTCTTGGCTCACTCTTTTTTCTGAGCGCACAGCCATAGATGTGTATGTACAGTTTTATTTACTTATTGGCTGTGGCAGTACTGGGGCTTGAACTCAGGGACTGGGAGCTCCCTGTCCCTCAGCTTTTTTGCTCAAAGCTGCTTCTCTACCACTTGTGCCACAGCTCCATTTCTGGAGCTGGTTAATGAGAAATAAAGTCGCAGGGACATTCCTGCCTAGTCTGGCTTTGAGCCTCAATCCTCAGATCTTATCCTCCTGAATAGCTAAGAGTATGGGCATAAGCCATGAGTACCTCGATTCACACATTTTTAAGTTAAGGTTACATGTGTTTAAATGTTCAAGTTAGAGTATACCAAAGCAGCAGAAAGTTAAACATCAGTAACCCAATGAAAATCCAAAATTGTGTGCAAAAGTTGATCCAGGCTGGCTCTTCCTAGGCTATCCAAGCAAGTATGGGGGTGGGGAGGCAGGACAGAACTGCCCCCATCCTCTCCCCGCCCACCCACCATGTTACAGTTGAAACAATAATGCTTTAACTGGACAACTGTCTTGGGAATAGACTCCAGGCTCAGGGTCATTCTTGGTCATATACTTAAGACCATCCTGACTTTTATCTCCACCTGCTTTGCCTTTGGGAAGAGTCATGGAACCGACTGAGAATCAACTTAAGTCTCAGCCGCCAGTGGAGGCGTAGAGGTGGAAACTCCAGAGTGAGTTTGCCTTCATTGCTTTCAAAGAAAGGTGCTTGTCTTCATTATATTATCCCAAGGCAAGTGGCAAATGTCAGCTACATTGTCCCTGACTTGGTAACCCATGAGTGGCTGAGGACACTTTACTGGAGTTGGGAAGGTGGCTCTGAAGCAAAGACCCTGGGCCCATACTCACACTCTGTAAGCAAACACCCTCTCTTCCTGCCCATGGGGCTGAGAAGGTGAGATTCTGCGCCTACCTTGTCTAATGATGGTGGTGGGCTCTCCACCATGCAGGCTCGCTCTGCCAATGGAAGGCTCGGAGATGTCTGTCCAGTAGACCATCTTATCCACACAGTCAAAGGCCAGTCCAATGATGACTTTCTCCTGCAGGCCAGGAAAGGAGTTGAGAAGGGCCCGCCCCCAGCGTGTGCGTATAATGATGGCAACAAGCTACGCACACTTACCTGTCTCTGGAAAGTTTTATACACAAAGTATCTTTGATTCATTTGAACATCGTATCATTGTGTTGTGTGAATTCTTTATATGGTTCAAATAAGATTCCTATCTATTCACCTGTATGTACAGTAACACATGCTATGGACATTCTCTTTCATCTGTAGTTCACCTCTTTATTTTTTTTTAATGGTGTTGACTTTGAAAGGTAGAAGTTGTAAAGAATAAAAGGCATAAATATTGGGAAGGAAGAAGTAAAATTTCTCTAAAGTAATGACCGTTATCCTGGGGAATCTATAAGCTATTGTAACTAATCAGCCAAGCCCAGTGGTGCACGCCTAAAGTCCCAGTTTCTTCAAAGACTGAGGCTGGGCCAGGCACCAGTGGCTCACGCCTGTAATCCTAGCTACTCAGGAGACTGAGATCATGGTTCAAAGCCAGCCCAGGCTTTTCCAATAAACCCCTAAAAAAGCTGGAAGTGGCACTGCGGCTCAAGTGGTAGAGTGCTAGGCTTGATCAAAAGAAGCTAAGGGACAGTGTCCAGGCCCTAACTGGCAAAAAAACAAAAAACAAAAAAACTGAGGCAGAAGGATCACTTGAGCCAAGGAGTTTGAGGCCAGCCTAGAAAAGAAAGTGAGAACCTATCTACATTTAAAAAAAAAATCACAAAAACACTTTTAAAAACCTCACCCAAACTATTACAATGACTGAAATGACTGAATCTATAGCAATGTTACAGGACACAATTATTTCTGCATACTAGTAAAAAATAAATAGAAACTTCAAAATCAATGTCTATTTACAGCCAGGTACTGATGGCTCACACGTGGCTCACACCTGTGATCCTAACAACTCAGAAGGCTGAGGTCTGAGGATCACAGTTCAAAGCCAGCCTAGGCACACAAATCCAAGAAACTCTTATCTCCAATTAACCAGCAACAGAAGTGCAGTTTTGGCTGATGCAACCCAACAGCTGTAGGCAGACAAGACACAGATCCCATGGAGCCATAGGCAAGGCCTTCAGTGTACACACACACACACACACACACACACACACACACACACACACATATCCTATATGAACCAAGGGAGGGGCCCACAGAGGGACACTCAGGGCCATGTGGACGAGGCCTGGACTGGGGGTCCTGCCTGGACCGGGGGTCCCGCCTAGACCTGGGCTCCCCATGGCCCCAGGCCCACGCTTACCGGGACATGCAGCAGCGTCTTGGCTTCCTCCTTCTTCATGCTGCTGCCCTCCAGAGGCAGGTGCCCGATCTTCCCAGCCTGGGCAAAGAGCAGGTGGGTCCCGGGGGGCAGGGGTGTGACGGCGGTGGGCAGAGCAGGCCTCTGGTGAATGGGAGGAGGCACCGTACTCAGACCTAGGAGGCAAGGAAGGTCAGACAGTGGAGGCAGGGATTGGGGGGGGGGCACAGAAACACAAATGTTCACACGCACGTGCATGTGCGCGCACACACACATGCACACCCACGCATGCACCCACAGCCCCGGGCATGGCCCAGCCACACAGCGTCTGTGTTTTCTGTCTGGAAGAGCCAGAGGCTGAAAGCCTAGCCTGGGAACGGGTGTCTGTGAAGAGGGTAAGGCAGCCGGCGGACCAGTGGGTGGGAACAAACGGCCAGCTCCTCCAACAGAAGTGACTCGGCCCAGCCAGCCAGGTGCACATCCCACCCCCAATCCTAGCTACCTGGGGCCCCCTATTCTCTCTCTCTCACTGCCAACACTGATTTCATGGACACTCTTATCTTCCTGGCTGCTTCCACTTTCTGGATCGCAGTCTCGGCCCCAAACCCCATGCTCTTGGCCTGGCCCTGTTCCCCCACACACACCCCTCCACTCTCCTCTGAATGCTCCATGTACACTGTGTTCCTGTGGGACATAGGGTGGAGGGGGAGAGAGGAGAGATGGCCGGGCAAGCTGACACCCCAGACAGGTTGCTGGGCTCTGTCCAGCCCCAGCCAGCCACAGTCACTTACACGGGGGCCTCATCCCGGGCCTGGTCCTGGTGCCCTCCAGCTCGCGGCCTTCGCGATCCACGCACCAGCAGTAGCCCGTGCTGCTGTGGCACTGGGTGGGCACATACTGGCCATGCTCATCACACTCGGGGACAAACACCCCCGGCAGCTGGGGCCGCTGCACGTCCGCTCCCCCCGCCGCGGCGCCCAGGAGGCGCTCGCGCTCATGCTGGCACCGCGTCTTCTCCGCCTCTGTGGACAACAAGCAAAGGACAGTGTCACCCAGGACGGGCATGCCTGCCATGCCTCAGGCACCAGCGATCCAGCCCTGTCGCTCTTCCAGCTCAGACTACAACCACTGGACTTTACCTTCCCTAGGTTAAAAACGTGATTACTTAGAGTATCATGACTGTATCGGAGAGTGAACTAAAATAACAGAAAAGGAGCCATTTTAAAGTGAGCCCATCAAGTGGCATCAGCCACGTTCAGTGCTTATGACTGCCGTCACCGTCTGGCCCTGAAATATCCACATCTGGCTCACACCTGTAATCCTAGCTACCCAGGAGGCTGAGATGTGAGGACGGCAATTTAAAGCCAGCCCAAGTGGGAAAGTCCATGAGACTCTGATATCCAGTGAACCACTAAACAGCTAGAAGTGGACGAGCACCAGCCCCGAGCAAAAAAAAGCTAAGGAACAGCATCCAGGCGTGGCTGGCTGGCTTTGAACCATGCTCCTATGTGGCTAGGATTGCAGGTGTGAGCCAACAGCTCCCAGATTGCTTTGGTTATGTTTGACCTAGTCTTGCTTTCTATGCTCAGCCGGCCAGAACGCAATCCTCCTGTTTACACTTCTTACACAGCTGGGATCACAGACATGTTCTACCATACTCTGCTTGTTATTGGTTGATGAAGTCTCTCAAACTTGAACCACCATCTTCCTGATCTCAGTTTCCTGGGTAGCCAGGATTTAAGAATTGATAAGAAGCCAGCCAGCCCAGGCAGGAAAGTCCATGATACTCTTATCTTTATTAAACCACCAGAAAACCAGAAGTGGTGCTGTGGCTCAAGTGGTAGAGCACTCACCTTAAGCTGAAGAGCTGAGGGACAGCGCCCAGGCCCAGAGTTCAAACCCCATGACCAAAAAAAAAAACAAAAAACTGACAAACAGCAGAGATCGAGATCTCAGTCCTGACTCATGAACGTTTTGAATGTTTATGGCAAGCTGGAAGCTCAGCAGTCTCTCGGGATGTCTCGCAGTCTGGCCAGCAGACAGTGGGAATGACCCAGGGCTCCAACGGGCCCCTGTGGAGGCCACCAGGGCCTCTGGGGAATTTTGCACCAAGGGCCTGGGCTTGCTCAGAGCTGGGAAAATGCTGACTCGTTAAAAGTTGGTTTGCTGGGCCCGGGGAGGATGCACTCAAGCCCTGATTCTTATCTGAGGGGAATGGAAGTCTGGGGTGACTCGCTTCAAGATGGGACATAGAGAGCAGTAGAAAACGAAGAAAAGTAGAGAACTGGGGGAGACAGCACATTCTGGATCTCTGCATCTCCATCCCTCTCCCCCCCACCCCCATGAATTGGTTTCTCTGTCAAAGGAACGGGCCGTGCAGCTTCTGATGGGCTCCAGAGAACAGAGGGTAGGAAGTGTATGGGAGATTCTAGAAGCCAAGCTTTTCTGGGGACAGACAACAGGGACTGGTGGGAAGACCGAATGGAGTTGCTTGTGCGTCATTTACTTGGACTCTTCTGGCATGGCATGGGGGTCTTACAGGGACCCCAGCTGCTACACAGGATATGAGCACTTCCGTGGTGCACACCGCTGGACGTGGCGGCGGTGCAGGGTGATGACAGGTCTGCTAGCTCAGATTTCTGGCCCTCAGCCTCACCTACCCCAGGCCCAATGGACACTTGATAGCCCAGGAGTGCCATGTTCCCAAGAATGGGAATCTATCTATCTATCTATCTATCTATCTATCTATCTATCTATCTATCTATCTATCTATCTATCTGTTTGTAGAGGGGCTCGAACTCAAGACCTGGGCTCTGTCCCTGAGCAGAAGTACTAGCGCTAGGGATCTACCACTTGGAGTCACAGTGCCATTTCCAGTTTTCTGAGTTGTCTGTTGGCAATAAAAGTCTTTCCTGCCCAGGCTGGCTTCAAACCATGATCCTCAGATCTCAGCCTCCTAAGTAGGTAGGATTACAGGTGTAAGCCACCAGTGCCCGGCCCCAAGTAGGGGAAAACAGTGTTAACCTGGAAGACTCTTTTTTCCCCTTTTTATGCTGGTGCTGGTGCTTGAACTCAGGGTCTAGTGTTCTTGCTAAGCTTGCTAAGCTTTCTTGTTGAGCTAGTGCTCCTGTTCAAGGCTGATGCTAAACTACTTGAGCCATATCTCCACTTCCCACTTTTTTTGCTGGTTAAGTGGAGATAAGAGAGTCTCTGGGATAAGCTGAGACTCAAGACCTCTCCTGGATCACAGTTTAAGCTCGGGAACAGGTTTGGCTTGGGAGCCAGTCCCTTCTGTATCCGGTAGGTAACTGGTATGTACTGAATGCTCTGTCGTCCTTCAACATGACTGGCACGGAGTCCAAATCACATGGAAAATACTCTGCAAATGTTTTCAAACAATATTTTAGTTAGCATTTGTGTTGCAGCTGGAGATACAGAACACGAGAATCTCATAGGTAGCCCGTGTGCTGGGTCCCAGACTGCCCAGCCCTTACAGTGCTGAGTGACGAATGTCTGTGGTGTGTACCAGCCAGCCAGCCATGGCAATCTGCTACTTCAATCCAAGCAGGGTCCCCTCTCTATCCCTCTCTCTCCACCAAGGAGGTGACTCCAGCCAGGGCCTGTTCCTTCTAGTGCACATTTTATGTAGAACATAGGCTTATCTTCAGGCAGGTTTGTATTTTCTATACATAAGAGCATGACAGGGTATATTCCTTTGTAGCTCTGCTTAAGTTATGTTTTTGAGGCTTATCCACGAACGCCTGTTATTGCATTATATGAACTGAACCAAGTCATCACCCTTTCCTCTCACAGATTCCACGCAGACCTTCTTCCTTTACAATCTGCAGGGACATTCAAGCACATTCCTTGTAGACAGGGTGTGGGGGCGGGCAGGGATTTCTTCAGGGAACAGGGTTCCATACACACACATGTAAGCAAATAGCCGCTATTAACATTATCACTGTTTCATCTTCCTTTCCCAGCCTACAAGTCTGAATTTGTTTCTGTTTAGTAAATAGTCATAAAGACAGGGCAAAGAGTCAGACTAAAACAAATACAAACAAAACTGAAACATCTGTGTGCCTTTGAACTGGAGCTGTGGCGCCAGCCTTAAAAACTAATGAGTGCTAGTCTAACAGCTGCTACAATGCCCCACACCAGTGACCATGAACTCATCTCTACAAGCCTTCCCTGTCTAATCTGTGGGCAGGGCTAGATCCTCATCCATAACCTCAAAACAAAAAGTTGACGCTGCTTGAATCCCTTAGACATAGAAGGGTTGGGAATCTTTTGCTATCAAGGCCCAGTAGTGAGCCTGAGAGTTCTCAGCCCCACGGAACTTCAGTCTCTGTTATAACTATTGAAGTCTGCCTTCCTAATGGCCAAGCAGCCACAAATGATGCAGAAGCTAATGTGTGTGGCTGTATTCCAATAAAACTTTATTTATAAACACACACAGTGGGCTAAACTCGGCTCCATGACCCTGAGGAAGCTACTAATTTCTATGTAAATTTGACTGAGCCACAAGCACCCAGATATTTGGTTACACACTATTCTGGGTGCTTCTTTGAGGGTGTTTGTTGTTTTTTATAAAAATTAACCTTTAAATGGATAGAACAAGTAGATTATCAGGTCCTCAGATTTCAGACTCCTGAGTAGGATTACAACAGGCTTGAGCCACGAGTGCCCAGTTCCATGCTTTTCCTCATCCCATGGGTGGGATGAGGCCCAGTCCTCCTTGGTTCTTGGGCTTTCCTGATTCTTGGGCTTTCAGTCTTGGACTTTGATGTTGCCTATGGCAAAACTGGGGACCTGTCAGCCTCCTGAACGATGTAGGCTGTGTTCTTGTGATCTATCCTCTTGGCTCTGTTTCTCTGGAGAGCGCTGGCACAAGCAGCCCTTCCTCAGCCTGCACTGCTGGCTCAAGTTCTCAGGATGATTCCCCCCCAGGCTGCTGGTATGGCTGTGGGCCCTGCGGTTACACCCTGCACAGCTCTGTGCCAAAGCCCATGCTCAGTCTCTGTCTCTAGAGACCGCTGAGAACTTGCCAGGAGCTGCCACTTCCCTGTACGCTCAGCACTGATGTCACAGTACAGCAACGGATCTCCAACCCCGCACGCCCCTCACCTCCGGGCTCGCATCGGAAGCCATCTCCCTGGTAGCCAGGTTTGCAGCGGCATGTGAAGGATCCTGGCAAGTTGTAGCAGACAGCGTCAGGGTGACATCGGCCTGGCTGGCATTCGTCCACATCTGAAAAACCACCACAGGCCAGGAGGCCACAAGATTATTTCCAGAATTCATGGTGGACACAATCATTCACACCAGTTGCTAAGATCTCCAGGAACCTGCTTCTGGTCTGGAAACTGGGACTTTTAAACTCACATAACATGGATTCCTGGGACACTGATGTGCTCACCATTTCTATCCAACACATTTACAAGTGCAGTTCACTCTGACCATGTCTCCATGGAAAACCAGATTGGTCAAAGGAAAAAGAAAGGGTCTGCTCATATGGAGAGGTGATCCCACTCATCATAAACAAGAGCTGCCCAAGCTTTGAACTTTGGGGCTTGAACTCTGGGCCTGAACACTGTCCCTCAGCTCTTCAGCTCAAGGCTAGAGCTCTACCACTTGAGCCACTGCATCACTTCTGGTTTTCTGAGTGGTTTATTGGAGATTAGAGTCTCACAGATGTTCCTGCCCAGGCTGGCTTTGAACCAGGATCCTCAGATCTCAGCCTCCTGAGTAGCTAGGATTACAGGCATGAGCTATAGGCATGAGCCATCAGCGCCCGGCTTTGTACATCACCTTTACAATAACAATAAAAAAATACTCTGCTTTGCATATCAAGAACCCTAGGATGCTTTATTAATCATGCAGCTTCAAACTACCTTATTCACACCAGCCAGACAAGCTGCCCCATGTGTGAAAGGATTCCATCAACCATTTATTCTCTGACTCTGCAGACATTTATTCAAAAAGGAAACTTGGTTTTTGTGGAGAAATCTGTGGCAACCCAACTGAATGACTGCATAGATCTTGTTACATAAATTCATGGACTTTAAGCTCTGTAGGCCGAGATTATTTTTCTTCTTGCAAAACACAAACAAAATCCTCTATGCGGGCAGAGAGCAGGTGTCTGATCATTGTGTAATCAACACGTCATGGAGAACAAATTAGCTGGGGAAAAACAGCCCCCAAAGAGAACACATAGTATTTCCTATGTGCTTTGCGGCTCTCAGAGAGATACAGACAGGAGCCAGCTCACCCAGTGGTGCTGGACCAGAGTCCTTCGGTTTAGGGGGAAGTGGGTAACCAGAGAACAAGTACCAATGTAAACCCTTGCAGGGTGCGCAGAAGGTCAAGTCAGAGTGGCCTCGTACCTTGGCAGGCCCGGCCGTCCCCAGAGAAGCCAGGCAGGCAGGAGCAGGTGTACGAGGTCCCCCCGGTGTAGACACACTGGGCCCGCTGTGGGATGTCGCAGTCATGCAGGCCAGCCTCGCAGTAGTTGATGGGCCGCTGGTCCACAATAGCTTCAGAACAGAAGGTCCACGCACATGGGTGGGAGAAGGCCCTGAGCAGTCCGGCACCTCCCAAACCCCTTCCCACCCGCACTTCAGTCCAGTCCTGTGGGCCCTAAAAGACCCCAGATCTCCCCACAACTCTGCAGGCTGCACCCTTGCTCCCCACTGGGTTGTGCCTCTGCCGACTCTCCCCAGACCGACACCCCGGCTGGTCACTCGGCCTGGCTTTCAACTGTGGCTCTGCCCTAAGGACTCTAGCTCAGGCCTCTCTGAGCACGAAAGACCAGGAGTGGGATTCAGAACCCAACTGCCTTCCTCTGGGTGTGCACACACAGCATCTGCAGGGGCCATGCTTCCCACGGGAATACGCAGCTCACAGTGGGAAAGCCACACGCCCACTGCCAAAGCCAAGGTCAAAGTCACAGGGGAAAGAAGAGAAGACCTTCCCCAAGGCGGCCAAGGGTTTCTTGCCCAAGAGACGACAGGTGGCCCTGGGGTGACTGTAAGCACTGGTGGATCAATCCTATAGCCATGGATTCTTTTCTCCTGGACAAACTGGAATGCCTTCAGCATATGGAGCACGGGAGGCCAGCCGAGGGGACTCCTGCATTCCAATGGCTCTGGCGACAGTGCTCACAGAATGAGGGCTGAGGAAGCAGGCGCCGGCCCCGCCTTGTGTGCTTGCCTCAAGATGGGAATCAGGGCCGAGATCAGAGCCACGGTTTCCAACGTCCAGTGACTCAGGGCTCCCACTGGGACCATTTGTTTCTGGTGTTCTGGAAGCCTCAAGACGGGATGGAGTCCCAGTCCCTCAGCACACCCAGGTCAGGGTCCTCTCCCTGAGCAAAGGAGCCAACTAAAAGGGAAAAGAGCCAAGGGGACTGGAACCTTCCAGGGCCCTCAGCCGCTGGGATCATCAGTAAGCACTCCAAGGCTAGATCTCAGGGAACACAGCGATCACCGTGCCTTTTGCCCTTGTTTTGGAGCAATGGAATCCACTATCCAAGCAGCTGGCTCAGAATTTGACACACAGAACTGGGGAAGGCTGGAGGTTGGGGGAGAGGACAGGGGTGGCCGGGGACCTCCCTGTGCACCCCCCGGCAGCTCACGCAATGCTGCTTATGTACTTGGGCCACAGGAGGCCAACGACCTCACATCCATGATCTCACTCAGATGGGGAGCTGCAGCCCCTGCCCTGTCCTCCCACGGGTGTGACATCACCCTGCCTTCCCCGCTCAGGCCTCAAGTTGGATCTCAGTGACCATAAGGGGTAAAGAGTCCACCACCCACGCTCCAACCAACACAGGATGTCAAGACTGTTGCGCTAAAAGCAAACTTCACCATCTGCTGTAACTCCAAAAACAGAGGAGGAAATCAGGCTGCGGACACAAACTCATACTCTCTACTGAGAAGAAAACAAGGAAGTTCAGCAGCGCCAGTGAAATCTCAGCCCCATGGAAAGGGGACAGGCCTCCCAAGGCCACAGATGTTTGGGTCACACTCAACACATGAGGACTGCCAGTTCCCTCCCTCCCGCCCTGCCGACACCAACAGGGACCTTGGCTTCTAACCCAAGCTCCCAGACGAGCAAAGGAAGCATATTCTAGACTGAACAAACAGCCAGGGGACATCCGCTGGCTGATACAGGACTGGAGGGTGTTTGTCCATTGGCAGACATGCTGAGATCAGGTGTTTAGCTCAGCACGTCGGCATCTGGACCTGGAAATCTCCAAGAATCTTTGAACTTAAAATGGACCCGTCATGAAACCAACTGTCAAGGCAGAACAGCAAGAAAAATGTGGTTGGCCGACATCATCCTTATTCCCCAGATCATTGTCAACCAACAACGTAATTAGCATCAATAATAGTACTGACTTACTTCAAAACATGCTTAGAAGTTCTGCAATGTATGGTCTATAAAATTAAGATCCACAAATGGAATGGTCCCCAAGTGGGGTTTTAGATGTAACTCGGGTAGAATTCAATCTAACGGTAGAAACATGTCCCAGAGGAGTCATCTTTCAACACCAACCCTAGGTTGTATATGGCATGGCCTTAGTTAACTATTAAAGAGTATACTGAAGCCAGGTGAGGGTGTCTCACACTTATAATCCTAGCTACTCAGGAGGCTGAAATCTGAGAATCGTAGTTCAAAGCTAGCTCAGGAGGAAAAGTCCAGTTAACCACCAGAAAGCCTTATGCAAAAAAGCTCAGTCAGAGACAATGCCCACACCCTTAGTTCAAGCCCCCAGACCGGCATAGATAGATAGATAGATAAATAGATAGATAGATAGATACACAGACAGACAGACAGACAGACAGACAGATAGATAGATAGAAGAAGCAAGTGGCTCCTTTGCCATGAAGCTCATAGTATGCACCATGAATGTGTATTTTGATAAACTGCCTGGAAAACTTACCCACGCATGTTCCCCTGTCTGAAAAGCTGTAGCCCTCCACGCACTCACAGCGGAAAGTTCCCGGGAGGTTGTTACAGATTTGATGGCTCCCACACACTGAGGGTTGTTCCTTACATTCATCAATATCTGCAGCAAATTGTTGAAAAATGAAGATTTGTTTTAGCCTCTTCAACATCACAGAAAGCATTTTCCCCACCCATCTTAAGACAAAATTTTCTGTATCTGCAAAGTAGTATGAAATGAAGATTCTTTTCCCAGAGTGTGACTTAGCCAGGGTCCACCAGGCCCTTTCAAGTAAGTAGGTGCCCCTCCACCTCTTCCCAAGCTAGTTCCTGAGATGGGGACCCTCCAGACAAGTCCCTCATGTCAGACACGAGAACGACACACGATGATGCCTTACACATGGGACTGCTGGACTTTCCTCCAATCACGACAACTAACCAAAGTTGGCTGTTTTACAACCACACTATGAAAATGTGAATGTCACCTAGAGCTTAATGGACTGAGAGTGGGGAATCTCAGTAGATGGCTAACAGACCAGAGTCGTCTCCTCTCAAGCAACCACACTAGAGCCTGGGCCAGGGGGTAACAGAGCAAAGACCGATGCCTTGTGGTTGAACAGAGGTGGATCCAAACCCAGTCTCCCTAATGAGTGTGGTCTTGCGCAGGTTACCTCAACCACTCAGCCTCCGTTTCCACAGCAGTAAATAAGCGTAACAGTACTCATTGTGTAGGTTCGTCTGAGGAGTAGAGAGCATGGATGTGGCCCGGGAGCCTCTGCACAGCCAGGACATGGAGCTCTGATGAGACTCATTAGACGCTCATCCTCTACCCCCAGTTCTGGCCACAGACGTGGCCAATTCTGGGAACCAAGGTCACTGGCTCTGGGTTCCAGTCTGTGACTACTACTCTCGTAAGGCCTGCTGGCCCAGAAGAGAAACTGCTAGCCTCTCATTATCACAGTTACCTGTCACACACAGACAGGTTGGATGGGAACAACTGCACCAGGTCCTTCTCACACCCACCTCACCCCCTCCTGAAAATGTGTGTGCAGAGGCTTGCACAAGTGCTGAGGCCGCTCGGGCAGGGCCTGTGCCTCCAGCCTCCCCACAGGGCTTGCACTCAAATCGTTCACCCCAGTCGGGCCAGTCCCTTCATCGAGGAGACCCTGTCCTGCTGGCGATGTTCTTGGGCAAGGCATCTTTGTGACAGCAGTCCAATGTCTGGGCCAGATCCAGGCAGAAGCCCAAATGAAAGGCTGATGAACTTTTTGAAAGCGGGGTGTGTGTGTGTGTGTGTGTAAGAGACAGGCATTCAGGTAAAGGGTGTGTGTGTGTGTGTGTGTGTGTGTGTGTGTGTGTGTGTGTGTGTGTGTGTGTGTGTGTGTGTGTGTGTGTAAGAGACAGGCATTCAGGTAAAGGTCTGTGCCAAGCACAGCGGGAGGGGTTTAGGGAGCAGGTGGACTGCAGCTGGGTAGAGATGAGGCCACACAGCAAGCATACATCTTCCAGTCCCGTCTACCAGCTGCTGCTCCCACACCCACGCACTCCATTCCACACCTCTCGGGAGGCTCCCACAGATGCATGCACATGCTGTTCAACTATGGGGCCTCTGATGGCTTAGACCCAACTGTGGAAAGCGCAGAGCAGAGCAGCAGGCTCCAATCAAGGCACTGGAGCCCAATCACCAGGGAGCTTCCAAGCCTCCATTCACCCCGGGAACATTTGCGGGGAGGGACACTATGTGTTCAGAAAATATCCCGGGCCACCAGGCTCCTCCCACATGGCTAACCCCACACTTGACCTTCAGCACCATAGGCCAACAGGGCCTGGGTAAGGGGACAAGGGACAATCCTCCCCCACCACTATGCTGGTCAATATACCCCTCCCAGAGATGAGATCCTACCCAACCTCTTCCCCAACAGCACCACCTCGCAGCCCTGGCAGTTTAGAAACTGCCTAATGTACATTCCATACTGTAAATTGAGGCCAGGACCTAACCCTTCCTTTCATGGGACTGAGACTTGGTAACCATGGGGACGGTGCCCAGTAACCATGGTAACTACCTCAGTCACACTACTCATCATCAGGCCAGCTTCCGGTCGAACATGAGCTTCGCCTGCTGTTACCACTCTGCCCGACAGGGGAATTCTGGATTCTTAACTATGCTGCTTTTCACAGATTTTCCAACGACCGTTTCTCCCACTGTTCCTTTCACACCAGTCTCCTTGAGAAAAGTTTCATTGTCAGTTTGCTAAATGTCTTCTATATACTCAATACCTGTTCGCTGAAGATGAGCCAGAACTGTCTCTACGGACAGCAGACCGAGAAGCGCATGGCACCCTCTGTCACGCAGTGTGTGAACCACGGAGGGCCGTGGTCCAGCTAGGAATCTCCAAGTTATCTGGGAGGGTCACGGTGCGACGTTCCCAAGCCAGCCTAACCTCCCTTTGAATCTACACTCCTACTTCAATGCTGCACACCCGGAAGCACCGGGTCCTTCTCCTCACAGGCACGTCCCAGGTCAAAAATGACCCATAAGCCATCTGCTTAATGCGATTTCTACCAAAAGCCTCATGTCCCCATGCATTAGTGCTCTGGGGCGTGTTCTAGTGAGCCCGGACAATAGGAGCCTGGCTAGGAATATCCCACATTCCACGCAGCTAATATTCCAGAAGGACCACTGAGCACTGGACAAAAGCAAGTGCATACACGAGCAACTGCTTCCAGATCTCCTGGGTGTGACAGAGGACATAAAGCAGGCTGGCCATCCCTAAGCACCAAGCTGGGGTGCCAAGAGCAGAGGCCTCCAGAAGGTCAGCTGGCAGCAGCAGCAGACTGATAGGCAGGTAGCTTTTAGAGTGGAAGTGGAACTACATAATGATGGAGGAGCTGTGTCACAATGAAAGGGTTCCCCCATGTGGTCTCCACACCACCCTCATGACTTACAGGTGCTCTGTTGACACACACACACACACACACACACACACACACACACACACACACACTCTCTCTCTCTCTCTCTCTCTCTCTCTCTCTCTCTCTCTCTCTCTCTCTCTCTCTCTCTCTCTCTCTCTCTCTCTGCATGAGCCGTCCTAAGCCAAACACAGTCATTCGAGACTAGCCTGCTCTTTAGGCAAAGACTGAACAACTGTCCACAGGAAAGTCTTTGAAGTTAAATTATAAATAATTTTTTTGGGGGGTCCGGTCATGGGGCCTGAACTCTGGGCCTGGGCGCTGTCCCTCAGCTCTTCAGCTCAAGGCTAGTGCTCTAACACTTGAGCCACAGCACCACTTCCGGCTTTTTTCTTTTTGCTTATGTGGTGCTGAAGAATCGAACCCAGGGCCTCAGGCATGCAAGGCAAGCGCTCTACCACTGAGCCACCTTCCCAGCCCTAAATGATTTTTTTTTAAGTAGCACCAGAAGAAAGGGGTGTAATAAAGATGCTGAGCTCAAATACTCCATCACTGCTCACCTCTGAACTTCCATGAGGAGAAACAACAAGCATGGTCAGGGATATAGAGAAAATGGAACTCCATCACTGCTGGTAGACACCACCACCATGGAAAGCAGTATGGTGGCTCCTCAAAATATTCAATACAGAATTACAGGATGATGCAGCAGCTGGGCACTCCTGACCTATAATCGCAGCTACTCAGGAGGCTGAGATCTGAGGATCACAACTTGAACCCAACTCAGGAAGGCAAATCTGTGAGACTCTGATCTCCAATTAACCAGCAGAAAGTTGGGAGTAGAGCTGTGGCTCAAGTAGTAAGGCTCCAGCCTGGCACAGAAAAAAGCTAAAGAACAATGCACAGGCACTGAGTTCAAGGCCTAGTACTGGCACATACAAGAATATGATCCAGCCATCTCACTTTGGGTAGGTACCCAAAGGGAATAGGAACAGCAACTCCAACAGTGTTTGTACACCCAGGCTTGTATCAGCATTATACACAATAGCCAAAAGGTGGTGCAAGCCTGATGTCCAAGGCAGATGGACAGATAAAAATACCAAGAGAAAAGAAGCCAGGAGTCAGTGGCTCACACCTGTAATCCTAGCTACTCAGAAGGCTGAGATCTGAGGATTACGGTTCAAACCAGCCAGGAAAGTCTGTGAGACTCTTATCTACAATAAGCCACCAGAAAACCGGAAGTGGCGCTGTGGCTCAAGTGGTAGAGTGCTCGCCTTAAGCTGAAGAGCTGAGAGACAGCACCCAGGCCCAGAATTCAAGCCTCATGACTGACAAAAAAAAAAAAAAGAGAGAGAGAAAAGGAATTCTGGCACACACCACAATATAGGACATCATGCTAGCCACCAAAGGAGGAATGCTGTATGATTCCATGACATTCCCAGGGTCGTAAGATTCCCGAGACAGGAGGCAGAGCGGTGGTGGGCAGGGCCAGGGAGGAGGAGGAGGGAGCAGTGCAGTGGGCACAGAGCTTGTTGTGCCAGATGACAGAGTTTAAGATGATGGTCATGGTTTCACAGCATGTGAATGTACTTAACAGCATTCTGCTGCACACTGAAATGGAGCTGGCGTGATAACCCCAGCCTGTAGCCTGGCACCCGGGAGGCAGACATGTAAGGGGAGTCCTGAGGTTAACTTAGGCTACCTAGTGACACTCTGTCTTAGAAAAACCAAGGAATGCACATGCATCTCAGTGGTAGAGTACTTGTCTCATTTGTGCAAGTTTGATTGCTGGTGAAAGTTCTTTCTAAAGTAAACTTTGTAAATGTTATTTTATATGTACTTTACAACAAAACATTGTTTTTCAAAAACGGCAGCAAAAGAATTAAGAGTGTCAGCAACTATACGAGGTAGCTTGTGAAACTTTTTTTTTTCTCCTTCAGTCTGGAGCTTGAACTCAGGGCCGGGGCACTGTCCCTGAGCTCTGCAGCTCAAGGCTAGCATTCTACCATTTTGAGCCACAGAACCACTTCTGATTTTCTGGTGGTTAATTGGAAATAAGAGTGTCATGGACTTTCCTGACAGGGCTGGCTTTGAATCGTGATCCTCAGATCTCAGCCTCCTGAGTAGCTAGGATTACAGGCATGAGCCACTGGTGCCCTGCTTACTTGTGAAACTCTTAATGCAGCAGAGCCTGAGTAAATCACAGCTCACAGTCTGACCAGCCATGACCTCGACTTCCCTTTAACCTTTCACACTGAGAACCTGAGAGTGTACAGGAAGAGCTAGGACCATACAGTGGAAGAAAGAGGGAGGGAAGGAAAGAAGGATACAAGCTGAACCCAGGACAGGACCGAGGGGACAGCAGGCACGCAGGTGCACAAGGAGGCATTCTACTCTGCTGTGCCTGCTAGATCCTGGGTCTAGAACCTGTGTGCTCCCTCCTAGCTGGTCCCCTAGCTCCCCGCATGCCCCACCCATCAGAAGCCAAGCCTTACCATGGCAGGTCTGCCCGTCTCCTCGGAAGCCGACAGAGCACTCGCACAGGAACTGGGTCCCGGGGCCGGGGCGGCACGCAGCGTTGGCGTCACACCCGTGCGTGCCGATGTAGCAGGGATTCTGAAGGGCATCGGGGGAGCCATCTGTGAAGGCAGACAGGAAGCAAGTGAACGTCAGGACCTCGAGGAGGCCTCCTGCTAACACAGGAAGCAGGTAATGATAAATACTGATGGAATGGGTGTGTCAGTGACCCTGGCCGAATCATTACCCACTGCAAACATGTATTGACAGTAACTGCACTGCATCCAGATACACCATTATTAATGTGTCCATTGAAAATAGTTAAAGGCTGTGGCTCACGCCTGTAATCCCAGCTACTCAGGAGGCTGAGATCTGAGGATTGTGGTTCAAAGCTGAGTTAACTTGGGCAGGAAAGTCTGTGCGACTCTCATCTCCAATTAACCACCAGAAAACTAGAGGTGGAGCTGTGGCTCAAAGTGGTAGGGCGCTAGCCTTGAGCAAAAGAAGCTCAGGGACCGCACCCAGTCCATGAGTTCAAACATAAATAAGTAAAATAAAAATAAGTAAATAAATAGAAAGGAAAAAATACTAAAAAGCTGTCCAGAGCCAACATGAAATTAATCTCTAGTGACCTAACTTTTTTTTTTCCCTTTCTCCCTCAAGGTATTTTAGCATGATCTTCTCCTCTAGATTTCAGAGTAAGAAAGCAAACTGCAAACACCAGAGAGCAGAGGTTTCTGACACATGTGAGCACGGGGCAGGCGGGGGGGAGGGGAGAAGGATGGGGGGGATAGGGAGGGATGGGTGTCTGAGAGCGCTGGCACCATGCCGGCCAGTGCCCCATCCTCCTCACCCCTCACAGGCCCAATGGAGTTGCTGAGGGCATAGCGCAGGATCCTCTCCTCCTGGTTGTAGAGCACGAACACACTGTCCACCGAGAGCTGCTGGGTGCTGGGCAGGGCAGGCTGCGTATCGCGGTCATGCGGGCACTCTTGGAAGGTGATGGTCTGGCGCCACTGGTAGGTGTGGGTACGCGCAGGCGCAGCGCTGTCCTGCCCCGGCGCCGTCACCGTGTACTCGCGGGTAGAGGACGATGTGATCACTGGAAGACAGGAGGGAGCCAGGCGATGGAGACATGGTGATGGAGCTCTGCCCAGGGCAGTCCCTGCTCATCACCAACCCTAGGATGGTCCGGAGGACAGCTTAAGGAAGACAATGTGTTGGTGTTGGAATCCATGTCCTTTTGTCTCCTACATCTCTTTGTGCTACCCATCGGGGAACTTTGGGCATCAAGTGGAGATCAGGGCAGGAATCATGGTTCACAGATAACTCAAACAACAACAACAAAACTCTGTTCTCCAACCCACAGCTGGGGGCTGGGGTGCATGCCTGTCTTCCCCAGAGACTAAGGGAAGCACAAGGAGGAGCTGACAGCCCAGGCTGTGCAGGTCTGACGGGATCCCACCAGGAAAATAACCTGTGAAAGATGGGGGCCGAGGGAGTGTCCGCCTGGCAGTACCACCAAAAAGGAAAAGGAACACAAGAAATGCAATGGGTGTTAGCAGCCAGTTTTGGAACGACCACTCTATAGCATCATGAGCAATGCTAGGCAGAGGAGGAAAGACAAGCAGCTCGCTCAGGAGAGCTGCAGTCTGACCATGTGACCAAGCCCTCCGCTTCCTCAACACATGAAGGCCTCTTTGTATGCCTGGACTCGGCAAAGCAGAGGAGAAACAGAAATTCACAGTGTGCTGCCTGCCATGCAGCGCCCTCCTGCTGACGGCCAGGCTGCCTGGCCACAGGCTGAGCACAAGGCCCTTCCCCAACGAGGACTCAAGCAGGCTGCCCTGGCCACAGATACCAACATGGCTGGAGTCTGACAGCATCTGACAGCAGCCTTCAGAATGTTTGAAGCCTTCAAACTGTTCGACTCACTACCTATTTCTTAGAAAAGTCAGATATTTGGTCAAGATTTGTGATAAACAGTCCAGGTCATTGTGAGAGGGAAAACATGAAACAATCTCAGCCTTAAGGAACAGAAGAATCGTTCACACCAGTAGAACTGGACTGATGTATTTTTCCAAGGCCACTCACGGGAACTAAGGAATACACACAAATTGACGTTAACAGAAAGGTAAAGATTCAACAATGCAGTCTGATTGCAATTTCAGTTAAAAACAACTCTGAACAGTAGATTATGTAATTGCACTGTATCAATCAATAATACATTTCCTGATTTTTAAAACTACAATATAAGCATATTAGAGAATGCATTTGCTCTATCAACAACACAGGACGTGTTTAGGGGCTGAAGTGTCAGGTTAAAAGAATGCAACTTACTTTCCAATAGTCAAAAAGAGTTACACCCCACAAAAACAGACCCGAAGACCAATGGAACAGAATAGAAGATCCAGAAATAAATCCACAGGCCTACAGCCAGCTGATATTCGACAAAGGAGCCAAAGACATACAATGGAAGAAACATAGCCTCTTCAACCGCTGGTGCTGGGAAAACTGGGCAGCCACATGCAGAAAACTAAAAGTGGACCCCAGCCTATCACCATGCACCAACATCAACTCAAAATGGATTAAAGACCTTAACATTAAACCTGAATCTCTGAAACTACTGCAGGACAGAGTAAGAGAGACACTTGAACTAATAGGCACAGGAAGGAACTTCCTGAACAGAGTCCCAGGGTCACAACAAGTTGGAGAGAGACTCGACAAATGGGACTACCTTAAAATAAAAAGCTTCTGCACAGCTAAATCTATCGCAACTAAGCTAGAAAGACAACCAACTAATTGGGAAAAAATATTTACCAGCAATATATCAGACAAGGGGTTAACATCCTGTATATACAGGGAACTCAAGAAACTAATCCCTCCCAAACCTAACAAACCAATTACTAAATGGGCAAGGGAACTAAAGAGGGACTTCTCAAATGAAGAAATAAAAATGGCAAAGAAACACACGAGGAAATGTTCATCATCCCTGGTGGTGAAGGAAATGCAAATAAAGACAACCCTGAGATACCACCTTACCCCAGTCAGAATGTCCCACATCCACAAATCAGCCAACGACAAATGCTAGAGGGGATGTGGAGAAAGAGGAACCCTATTACACTGCTGGTGGGAATGTACACTTATACAACCACTTTGGAAAGCAGTCTGGAGGGTCCTTAGAAAGCTAAAGATTGACCTCCCTTACGACCCAGTCATACCACTTCTAGGCATCTACCCTGAACAACAGGAACCAATATACAAGGACACGTGCACCTCCATGTTTATTGCAGCACTGTTCGCAATAGCTAGGATATGGAAACAACCTAGATGCCCCACCACAGATGAATGGATCCAAAAATTGTGGTATCTATACACAATGGAATATTATGCAGCCATTAGAAATGACAAAATAATGGCATTTGCAGGGAAATGGATGGAGCTAGAAGGAATCATGTTGAGCGAGGTAAGCCAAGAACGAAGAGACAAATGGTACATGGTCTCCCTGATAAGTGGATGCTAAATCCAAAAAGTTAGGTGATATGACAAAACTAACAGGACTTAAGAAACAAAGAACTCCCGCTCATCTGGTTGAACCACTACTAAATATCCCCATGCTGCTGATCACAAATATGGTATATAACATGTGAACACTGTTATATATTACAGACTGTGATAGACAATTTGCTCCAGGAAAGTTAGAATGAACTTGTGACTTTGAAATTATGTAATCACTTAATCACAATCAAAAAAAAAAAAAAAAAAGAACCTCAGGGAAGGGAGGGAGGGAGGGGATGGTAGGGGGAAAACAATGGAGGGGGTAACAATGTTCAAGAGGAAGTGTACTCATTACCTCACTCATGTAACTGTAACCCTCTGTATAGTATCTTTACAATAAAAAAAAAAATGCTCAGCAACATAAAAAAAAAAAAGAGTTACACCCTACATATAAGTGTGTGTGTGTGTGTGTGTAACATGACTGGTAAAGTAACTGAATTCATCGCTGGCGCGCAGGCACTCACCTGAGCTGGAGTAGTGGTAGAGCTCCGTGTAGGGCTCGATTTGCACGGTGGAGCCGGTCGGGATCTCGGGCACACGGCCCTCCAGCTCTGTGTTAATGGTCAGGTGCCCATGCTCGTCCACTCCACTGAACTGCTGCTTGATGACCAGCTTTCCTGGGTGCCCCACGAAGGTCACCTCTGCCTGGCGGGTGAATTCGCCCCCTGGAAAGCAAGATGGTGGGTCACCCTTCTGCCCGGCCAGCACCCCTCCTGACAGACGCAGGATCACAGTGTTCCATAGGTACTCGACAGCATCCACTCATGACTCGTGGGCTTTCCGGAATCCATGGAGACATCTAGATCCCCACCGAAAAATGCTTGTTCCTGGGTCAAAACCCTCCCCAGGTGGTCCCAGTTAATGATGTGTGTGTGCGTGCATGTGTGTGAGTGTTTAGGGAGTGAGAGCTGTCCCTGAGCTTTTTTACTCAAGGCTAGTGCTCTACCACTTGAGCCACACCTCCACCCCTGACATTTTGGTGACTGACTGGAGATAAATCTCACAGACTTTCCTGCCCAGATTATTTTCAAATCGAGATCCTCAGATCTCACCCTCCTGAGTTGCTAGGATGATGGGCCTGAGCCCCCACCCAGCACCCAGCTGGTGATGTGTACAGTTAACCTGGTCACTTAGTCCAGGGAAGAACAAGAGGTCCTTCTGTCTGCTTCTGAGAATACTTCTGCAGACAGAATTCTGGCTCCATCTGCTCCCAGGCCGGCCCAGCCCCTGTTCCACTGCCTGCACGGCCCATTAACCTCATTGTGCACGCGTTACCTACCAGTGATGCTGAAGCCATTCTTGAAGCTGTCCTGCTCCACGGCAAACATCCAGCCGATGATGCCTCCGATGGGCGCCAGGGGCAGCAGGGAGTAGCCCACGGTGTGGGGGATTGTGCTGATGGCAGTGTAGGAACGTCCCTGGTTCATCACCACGTAGGAGTGGAGGTCAGTGTTCTCGAAAACCACGGGCACCTGGCTGCTGCCCACGAAGATCCTTCCCTTCACCTTACCGTTGACACGCTGCGGAGAACCTGAAACACAACCATTAGGTAAGCGTGGCCTCCCGGACAGAGCCGTGAGACCGCAGGACTCATGGCTTCCTGACCATTCTCTTTGTAGACTCAATGTTACCGCATAGTCAGAAACAGGGGCTGATCACGCCCTGCCTGCAAAGACCAGGAGGACTGTGGTTCAGGGCTGGCAGAGGGCAATCAAAGCGGGGTGCGGTGATGTGCACTTAACATCTCAGCTGTGCAGCAACTCAGGCTGCATGAGGCACAGATGCAAAAATTAGTGAAAGCAGGAAGAGCTTGGAAATACAGCTCAAGTGGTACGGCACCTGCCTAGCAATGGGTGGGGGGTGGACCCCATTTACTGAGGTTTGTGAACCTCAGTAATACAGACACACACAAAATTGAAGAATCTTTGATGGGCCTGTACTTGCAAGCCATCTCCGTTTTTCTGCTGTGCTCAGTGTGCCTGACAGCACACAGAGCAGCCAGGACACTCGTGACCCAGAGTGGCTGAGCACACGTTCTATTGCAGCAGCCCTGGGAAAAGCCGTCCAGCTAATAGGAAAAGAATGTAGGAATGCATCCCAAGAACAACTGCACAAACAAGCCAGAAAGCCAAGTTCAGGAAACCTAGCAAAATGTTTCCACCAAACCCTGAGCTAGAAATAAATAAATAAATAAAACTTTCAAGTAGCAAGATTCCTACAAGCATTTAAACCCAAAACTATTAATCTATTACAGGGTGCATACATAACATCAAGATTTGTCACGCTCAGCTTGCAGTCAAACAGCTGCTGGACATTCTCAGCTGATATGTGCCGGGAACACAGTTCATGGGGTGACTTTTTAAAAGTAAGTGTTCAGGGGCTGGGAAGGTGGCTCAATGGTAGAGTATTTGCCTTGTATGCATGAGGCCCTGGGTTCAATTCCTCAACACCACATAAGCAGGGGAAAAAAAGCCAGAAGTGGTGCTGTGGCTCAAGGGGCAGAGCGCTAGCCTTGAGCTGAAGAGCTGAGGGACAGTGCCCAGGCCCAGAGTTCAGGCCCCACAACCGGACCAAAATAAAAATAAAAAAGAAATCACTTGAAAGAAGTTAAAAGTATCCTCCAAAATTAATCTGAAAAAATACACTACATTTTCTTCTGTTGCCAAAGGTAATATTTTTAAAGCCTCACTTTATTACCCCCAAAAGACTTTTTTCTTTTGCTTTTTCCCAAGTTAAAACAGGAACTAGCCAGGTACCAGCAGCTCACACCAGTAATCCTCGCTACTCGGGAGAGGCTGAGATCTGTGGACCATGGTTCAAAGCCAGCCCCAGGAAGGAAAGACCGTGACATTCTTATCTCCAATTAGGCCAGAAGGAGAGCTGTGGCTCAAGAGGTAGAATGTGATATGAGAAGAGTCAAAGGCCCACTATGGTGCATTCTGTAGTTTTTGTTTGAATTCTGATCTATGCCACAGGGGTCACACTGAGTGACCTATTATTAAACCCTCTCGTGTCACACAGAGTGAGTTCCCATGATCCTCTGGGAGCACCAGGTCTGGCTGGTCCCAATGGGGGCTGACCTCAGCCGTCATACAGGTCCCTCGGGCTCTGGCCCCACAATGAGTTTAGCACTCTATAGATTAACTGAGACACACTTCCAGTGCTATAGCCTCGCTATGGTTTCTGGAGCACAGGAAGGAGGAACGGGCTGGGGGGGGGGGGGGGGGGGGGAGTGGTTAAAACTGCACCCTTATAAACTCTGGTCGACACCAGTGGCCCTGTCAGATTAAGCAACCATGAAAAGAATTAGGTATGAGGCTGAGATCTGAGGATTGCAGTTCGAAGCCAACCCCCAGCAGAAAAGTCCTGAGACTATCTTCATCAATAAAACTACTCAGGAAAAGCCAGAAGTGGCGCTGTGGCTCAAGTGGTAGAGAACTAGCCTTGAGTACAGAGAGTCTCAGGGACAGCGCTCAAGCCCTGAGTTCAAACCCCATGACTGCCAAAAAAAAAAAAAAAGAGGTCTGGGCTAGGTGCTGTGGTATCTCACATCTGTAATCCCATCTTCATCAAGAAAATTAAAGTTTGAGGTTAACCTGGGAAACATATAAGTTGGTTACCGACACCCCATCTCAAATGGTGGCATAAACCTGCAACTCCAGATACTTTCATCTCAATGAACAAGATAGAAATGGTGGCATATGCCTGCTATTCCAACTACTCAGAGGCCTAAGTGGGAGGAATGCAATTAAAAGCCCAGGGAACAACCACCAAAAAAAAAGCAAGAATCCTACCTGAAAAATAAAAACAGATGCAAAAAGGGCTGGAGACATGGCTCAACTGGTAGAGCACCTGCCTAGCCTAGCAAGCACAAAGTCTGGAGATCAAACCCCAATACCTCTAAAAAAATAAAACAAGTCTTTGAGCAGAACTGGAGAGACTCCCTCATCCCTGAGGCCAACCTGGACCCCAAAGACTCTATCTCAGAAGAAACCACTCGAGAGACTCCAAGGACAAAGACGCAGTGTGACCAGTAACATGGGGCAGGACCCATCCTGCTCCAGCTCCACCACCCACTATTTCCACCTCTGTCATTGTCTGGGGCCTCTGAGGTGCTGGAGATGAAGCAGCAGCCCAGGGAGGGAGACGCTGCCCACCCAGAGGCCAGTTACCTTCTGCGACGCACTGGCGGCCGTTGCCCGTGTAGCCCGCCACACAGCGGCAGCAGAAGCCGGTGGCGAAGTCCCTGCACTCAGCCTGCACGGCGCACTGGTGTCTGTTGTTGGCACAGGTCTGCCGGGTATCCGTGTTGTAGCTGAACACTGTCGGGAGAAGACAGCAGCCCATCAGTGCTCTCCGCGCCTCTCAGGCGACATCCCATGCGTCTCCATTCCCAGGACTCATGCCCACCTGGACGCTCAAAGTCTACTGTGTGGGGAATGGGGTGGCTCCATTCCTCAAGCCACAGGTCTCCAAGGAGCTGAGAAACCGTAGGAGACCTATTCAACCCAGCCACAGTCTGTGAACTTGGTGCTACCCAATCAACCTTCCATGATGGCCAGTCGTGAGGCTAGGAGGGCCAGCTGCACACCAGTGGGGTCCTGTGCACTCTTTATGCTTAGTTAAATAGATGTATAATTTTGAAATTCAATTTGGGCCGGGCACTGGCAGCTCACCCCTGTAATCCTAACTACTCAAGAGACTGAGATCTGAGGATCCTGGTTCAAAGCTAGCCTGGGCAGGAAAAGTTCGTAAGATTCTTTTCTCCAATGAGCCATCAAAAAAAACCTGTAGCTCAAAGTTGTAGAGAATTAGCCTTGAGCACAAAAGCCCAGGGACAGCACCTAGACTCTGAGTTCAAGCCCCAGGAAAAGCAAACCCCCCCCCCCAAAAAAAAAAAGAGAAAAAGAAGAAAGAGCCATTTGGAGAGTGGCACTAAGTGGTTCATCCTTGTAACCCTAGGTACTCAGAAAATTGAGATCTGAGGAATGAGGTTCAAAGCCAGCCCAGGCTGAAATATCCATGAGACTCTTAATCAGTACAAAGCTGGAAGTAGAGCTATGGCTTAAGTAGTAGAGCGACAACCTTAAGTAAAAAAGCCAAGCCAAGCAAGAGTCAGAGGGCATGAGTTCAAGTACTAATACTGTCTCACACACATACACACACACACACACACACACACACACACACACACACACAAAGACACTTTAACCATCTGTGTCTATATATACAAATTTTCAAAAACCTCTCTTTCCCCATGGGAATAATTCAGAATCTCTGATGTGCAAAAGCTGGTCAGGAAGAACTCCTCCATTACACCCAGTCTAAAACCCTTTGACAAAAGAATCAGAAGGAATCTCTCCTCAGGTTAACGTTTCACCTCCCACATATACTTTACTAGAATCGTGAAGCAGCCCATTAACTTCAACGAGCTAGAACAAATGAATTTGGGCTAAAGTTCAAATGCACAGAGAGGATGATGATCTACTTATAACTGGCTGTGACGTGTGGAAATAAATGCAAATGTGAGCCCCTGGAAACGCCTTGGGCCTGCATGCTGGGCGGGGAGGGGTCCCAGGCTGAGCACACACAACACACGTTGGGAAGCCCAGCTCTCTCTCCATGGGTGAGCAATGGCCTACAGAGCTGAGGACAACTGTGCAAACACTAAGAATGTGCTGCTGGCCTTTCCAACGAACACATAAATAACTTGATTGGAGGGAGAGAAGAACATCTGATACAGACACACTTCGGGTACAAATGTAGGCTTTTTCCAGAGGTAGACAGTGGTATACAGCCTCAAGTTTCAGGAGGGCTGTCCACAGTCACACTTAAATGCAGTGGTTTCAGAAAAGAGAAGCTCAGAGATATCTAGCAAGGGCAGTAATCGGACAAGACTCAAAACTCTAAATATCTACAGAAAGCATATTCCACACTGGGGAACTGGGGCAGAGCATACAGGGGGCTGAGGTAGGAGCCCAGGACCTTGTCCTGGCATTGAATGCAACTTGTCTGTTCCTGAGCCTCAGAAGTCAGTAAGCCTGCCAGCCAGCATGCACTCCAGCCAGTCCATACAATACACACCAGCCAGCACACACAATACACACCAGCCAGTACACACAATACACACCAGCCAGCATGCACTCCTGCCAGCATGCACAATGCACACTGGCCAGCATGCACTCCTGCCAGAACACACAATGTACTCCAGCCAGCACACACAATACACACTGCCCAACATGTACTCCTGCCAGCATGCACAATACACACTGGCCAGCATGTACAATGCACTCTAGCCAGCACACACAATACACACTGGCCAGCATGCACTCCTGCCAGCTCACACAATGCACACCAACCAGCACACACAATGCACACCAGCCAGCATGCACTCCAGCCAGTACATACAATGCATACCAGCCAGCACACACAATGCACACCAGCCAACATGCACCCCAGCCAGTACACACAATACACACCAGCCAGCACACACAATGCACACCAGCCAGCATGTACTCCCATCAATATGCACATACACACAGGCCAGCATGCATGCCAGCACACACAATGCACTCCTGCCAGCATGCAGCTCAGCTTGCCCAAGGCTGGGAAACTCATTAAGAACAAACATGTCTGACTACTGGTGTGAGGCACAGAACAGGCGAAGAGAACCAAGATGAGTGAGGAGTGTGGGACAGACAAGGCTTCTTAGCAGAGGCAATGAAGTTTAAAAGCTTGAACCAGCCTTGCATTGGAATCTCAGGAGATTACATTTCAGCCTCGAGAAAGGGGAAAAAAATGAACACAGATTAGTCTGAGTATCTCTAGTGAGAGAAATCAAAGCATGCTCAGACTATCTGTACATTTCCTCAAAATGTACTCCAAAAAGTAAAAGTCCCTCAACTACTACAGCTGCCTAGAAGACATTACACTGTAAAACTATACAAAAAAAAAAAAAAGAGGATCTGCTTGTTTTGAATTTTGTGATCTTCACAAATCAACTGTGCAACCCACTGGTGCTGGAAGGAAAAAGAATCATCCATTGCAATTCCAGAACCAAGAGGGAGCCAATGTCACGCCAAGCCGCAGAAGGAGCTTGGCTAAAATGTTTGTGCAGGTGGACGAACACATTTCCCACTCAGAAGTCACAAACAAGAAAACCTGACTCTCCAAGGAACTCTCAAGGCATGTTTCTCTTTGAAACAGACAGAACGGAAGGTGGGCGGTCTTAAACGAGGATGTGCTTTTTCCAGTGTCCAGCCACAGGTCTGGGTGCCGACCCTGTGGGGCGTGCCCATGGCTCTGGGTGCTCCGCTTCTCCTGGCCCAGGTCTCGCTCTTCACCCTGCCATGCACAGACCTACGCCCCAGCAGCAACCCTGCTCCCCAGAAACCCAGCTGTAGCCTCCGCATCTTACCAACGCCTGTTTCCTCGACTTCATCCACATCAATGACATGTTGCTGGGGAAACCTCTCCACGGGCAACTGGAAGGATCTGGTCCTGGCCCTCTCCACGGGGGAGCGTGGAGGCCTCTGGGTTGCCTCATGGCCTGAGGAGAGGACGCTAGGCACACTGTGAGAGCCAGCACCCCCCCTCTGTAGAGTCTCGTAGAGAAAGGAAGATGTGCTCATGTCCTCCAGACCCAGAGATGGGGTCACTATGATGTACTCTTCATCCTCATCCACATACTCTGTGCCGTCGTCCGGTCCCAGGTTCGAGTCTGCAGGCACCACACCACTGGCTGTGGCCGCACTCCCGATCTCAAACACCCACACACCCTGAAGCCCAGAGTTGCTGCTCCTAAAGGCAAAGAAGGTTTCTTGAAAACGAGCCAGCCCCTCAGAACCAAGCGGGAGAAGCCCTGAGCAGAGGTGAACCCAACACAGCCAACAGGGGCTGGAACACAGGGAGACAATGGCCCTCTGGTCATCCCAGAGCGCAGACACCAGGGGCTCTGGAAAGATCAACCCAGATACACCTAACAGCAGCAAAACTCATCATCTATCAGAGCTCATGAACACCCAGAACATGGGTAAGACTTGCTACTCGGTCTAGATACTTATTGCTGGCTATGTGCTTGACCTGGATTGAGCTAAGATCTCACTCGTGTTTCCCACACTAACACAGAGCTCCTAAAACCATTAGAATGTCCCAGTGATCAAAGCAACCTTGGAACGCTATTTGGGTTGATGGTGGCTGCAGGAAGAGCCTGCTAGATAGGTGGCCAGAAATCCACAGCATGGTGGGAGGTTGAGAAGTCCCCCGTCCAGGGGCCCTCCCAACAGCCACCTGCAGGGGCAGAGGGGCCAGGGCTGACAGGACTCCTCCACCAGCGGCCAACACTGGAAGCCATGTCCCTACACTATGAAACCCCCATGCAGACCACCCCATGTGCTGCATGGGAAAAGTAACTATTCAACACTTAAATCCTAGCCAGTGCTAGTGGCTCACGTCTGTCATCCTAGCTACTCAGGAGGCTGAGATCTGAGGCTCACAGTTCAAAGCTAGCCCGGGCAGGAAAGTCCATGAGACTCTTTTTTATTTTTTTTTTTTGGGGGTCCGGTCGTGGGGCCTGAACTCTGGGCCTGGGCACTGTCCCTCAGCTCTTCAGCTCAAGGCTAGCACTCTACCACTTGAGCCACAGCGCCACTTCCGGCTTTTTTCTTTTTGCTTATGTGGTGCTGAGGAATCGAACCCAGGGCCTCGAGCATGCAAGGCAAGCGCTCTACCACTGAGCCAACTTCCCAGCCCCTCCATGAGACTCTTATTGCCAATTAACCACCAGAAAACCAAAAGTGGAGCTGTGGCTCAAAATGGTAGAGCGCTAGCCTTGAGCAGAAGAGCTCAGAGACAGCGCGGAGTTTAAGCCCCATGACTGACTCCTAATTATTTTACTCATTTCTGTGTTCCTGGGCTTATTTAAGCATCCGCATCTCACTGGTGAGAATGTATGTAGTAATTAATCTTCTTTTGAACACTTCACTGACATCAAGAACTTGAACTTGGCAAATGCTTTTTCACACTCAAAGCCAGTCGGTAAGCATTTACCAACACAGAACAAAGGGACAGACAGGAGAATTTTAGGCTAGATGTGACTATATGGAATGAAGATGGGAGCTTTGTTCTTTGTTTTTCTAACAATAATGGGAAAGGAAATATTTGAATTATATTTTTAAAAAAACCAGTCTGGGCTTTCCCTCAAGTCTAAGAACATAATGATGCTCTGTCAGTGTGGGCAAAAATGGTTTTATCAGGCTTCAGTTCCTGTCAGGAGACCAGTTTGACTAAACCTTCAGTTCTCTGGATGTCACCAGTTTAGAAATAGTTGGTTTTTTGTTGTTGGTGGTGGTGGTGGTGGTGGTGGTTGTGGGGCCTGAACTCTGGGCCTGGGCGCTGTCCCTCAGCTCTTCAGCTCAAGCACTCTACCACTTGAGGCACAACGCCACTTCCGGCATTTTCTGCTTATGTGGTGCTGAGGAATCAAACCGGGCCTCATGCATGCAAGACTAGCACTCTACCATTGAGCCACCTTCCCAGCCCATAGAAACAGTTTTAAATGGTGTATATAAAAAGTACACTTGCTACCTTTTCATGCTGAGTATATTCTTTTCAGCTTACAAAAAATAAAAATACTGCATATAAAACTATATACCAATTTAAATCCATAAAGATATTTTTAGGTAAAGATTTACAATGCCTACTACATCTTCCTTGGTAAAATATTATTTTTTCTCAGGGGAACATGTACAAAGAATGAAGAAAGCATACTTGGCCAAATTTTCAATGGATTCTTGATCATCAGCAAATATGTTATATGGTCCGTCGCTCTTCCAAATGAACCCCACTAAGCCTTTACTGAACGCAACCATGGCAGGCACTTGTTTCTCGTCCTTCTTCGAGAAGGTTGTGAAGAACTGCAGACCTTCTTCGGGATAAAGGAAAATGGCATAGGAGCTGGAATTGGAGGAGGCCAGGGCAGCCTGGAATGTGTTTCTCTGTGGAAAGAAGGGAAAATTCATTTCCCAGCAACACACCCATCTTAAAACATGCCATTCACTAAGAACAGTGAATAAAGTTCCCACTTTATTCCAAAAGAATCCACTATTTTACGACCATGCTGAACTGTCCTAGGATTATTATCAACATGAAATGTCCTAGTTAATAGTGAATATGTTCTGAATAACTCTGAACTTAAAGTTAACCAAGCTGGACACCGGTGGCTCATGCCCATAAGCCTAGCTACTCAGGAGACTGAGATCTGAGGACCACAGTTCAAAGCCAGCCTGGACAGAAAAGTCCCTGTGAGACTCTTTTATCTCCAAGTGACCACTCAAAAACTGGAAGTAGAGCTATGGCTCAAAGTGGTAGAATGTTAGCTTGGAGCAAAGGAGCTCAGGGGACAGTGCCCAGCCTCTGAGTTCAAGCCCCACAACCACAAAAAATAATAATAATAATTAATTATAATTATATAGATAGAAGCTCCAGATAGATCTTATGGAACTTAGGGAATTCTCGCCCTCAGAATCTGTCTCAACATGTTCAACCACACTCACACTTGGGTAAGTATTTAAAGTGTGAGGCCAGTGCATCAGAAGCACCCTCTCCCTGAACACTCACCTGGCGTTCCCCGGCAGGGCTCGGCTCTTGGTAGGGGGCTACAGATTCCCATGTAACGACCACCACACTCGTGGGCTGGAAAGAGCTATGTGGGAACCCCTTGTGGACATACTCGGCCGCCAGCTGAGTGGCAGAGGGGGATTGGTCCTCGCGGTAGTACACCTTCCCCAGGCCGTCGGTGGTGTCCAAGTCGGCCAGGAAGGGAGCGATCATGCCGAAGGTGGGCGGGAAGAGGCCGGGGTGGGACTCCTTGGCTGGTGGTTCACTCATGGCAATGATGCCATTGGTAGTGACCTGGAGGAAACCAAATGTGGTTAGAGGGACCATGGAGAGGACCCCCTCCCTGCCCCGCCTGGTGGGGTGAACCCCACTCTCAGAACTGCAATGCATACTCACACCAAGTAAAATTTGGGACGGGCAATAAGCCTGAATGGCAAAGCCAGCTTTCCTCCTCCAGGTAAGATGGGTGGCAGACCCCGCACAGGGCAAGAACCATAACATATGACTGACAGGTGCCAGTCACCAGGATGTGGGCAGTGTCCCAGATTATATTTTTTTTTTTTTTTTGTCGGTCGTGGGGCTTGAACTCTGGGCCTGGGCGCTGTCCCTCAGCTATTCAGCTCAAGGCGAGCACTCTACCACTTTAGCTATAGCGCCACTTCTGGTTTTCTGGTGGTTTATTGGAGATAGGAGTCTCACGGTCTTTCCTGCCCGGGCTGGCTTTGAACCGGGATCCTCAGATCTCAGCCTCCTGAGTAGCTAGGATTACAGGCGTGAGCCACCAGACAGCGCCCGGCCAGATGATATGTTTTTAACTGACAACAGTCTCCAAACATAAGTTGGGTTTTTTTTTTTTTTGGGGGGGGGGGGGTGGTGCCAGTCCTGGGGCTTGAACTCAGAGCCTTATTGTCCCTGAACTTTTTTTGTTCAAGGCTAGCACTCTACCACTTGAGTCACAGCTCAACTTCAGGCTTTTTGTTGTTGTTGTTGTTAATTGGAACTAAGAGTTTCATGGACTTTCCTGCCCAGGCTGGCTTCAAACCATGATCCTCAGATCTCAGGCTCCTGAGTCACTAGGATTACAGGTGTGAGCCACCAGTGCCCAATATATAAGTCATTATTAAAGCCTTGCACACTTAGTGAACATATGGAATAATCACTCCACGCTGGGGCTGTGTGAAGGGCTGTGAGCACAATGGGGGGAAGAGCTAGTCCCTGGCTTCAAGGAGCTCACCGTTCAGAAGAGGGGTAGAAGACACTAACAGATGATGATAAATAATGTACCAAGAAGTAAATCTGGCTGGTACTGGTGGTTTATATCTGTAATTGTAGACTATAACTTAAGAGACCAAGATTGGGCTGGGAAGGTGGCTCAGTGGTAGAGTGCTTGCCTTGCATGCGTGAGGCCCTAGGTTCAATTTCTCAGCACCAATAAGCAGAAAAAGCTGGAAGTGGCGCTGTGGCTCAAGCCATAAGTGGCGCTAGCCTTAAGCTTAAGAACTGAGGGACAGTGCTCAGGCCCAGAGTTTAAGCCCCACGGAAAATTCCACAACACACCATCTCAGTAGGAAAAGCTGGATGTGGTAGTGTGCCTGTCATCCACACAACAGCTATAAGCTAATATAGGCGAATCACAGTCCAGGTATGTGCCTGAGCAAGAAACAAGTCCCTGTCTCAAAAACAACCATTGCAAAAAAAAAAAAAAAAAAAAGGCCTAGATTCATGGTTCAGTGGTAGAGTGTCTTTCTAGCAAGTGTCAGGCCCTGAGATATGAGAAGAAAGGAAAAGAAGAGGAAGAAGAAAATCTTCATGGGACTGTTGTGACTAGTAGAATGGATTAGAATAATAATAATTACTGACAGTTTACCATGTTCTAGGAGAATTGCCAGCATTTAATAGAAAATTCTAGGGAAACTCCTCAATTTCCCATCATCCGCTAGCACCAGCAAAACTTTTCTAGAACATACTGACAAGAGAAAAGAAAGGAATCAGGCAAGTGCTCCCTACAACATGCCAACCTCTGAGCACAAATGCCTCCCAGGGCCGGGCAGGAGGTCGGGAACGGCGGCCCTCACTTTCTCAAACCCCCACAAGTTGGCAGTGGCCCGCGATCACACATGAGCCACATCCAGACAGCTCGGTCTTAAAAAGAAAACACTGTTTCCAAGTGAAATTTAAATCAGCCCAAGAATTCTGAAAACACTCCTGGTGTCTTTTATTGCTAGGAATCCGGGCGCCAGACGGTTGCTATTTTCATGAGGAATTCTGGCCTGGAAGTCAAGTTCTATGCAAGGATCCTGAAGCTGCAAAAGCTCCAGACAGAGGCGGCTCAGGAGCCCTCATCAGCATCATTGTGGGAGGGAAGGAGGGAGGGAATCCCAGTGTGATGTGCACCGCGGAGGCTACACCCATTCCCAACCTCATGCTTCTTCCCCATGAACTGCTTCAGTGAAGGACAGACTCCGTGAGCAGTGTCTCCTCACATTAGGTACAAAACACCCCTCCCCTCCACATTCCTTCCCTCAGGGGTCCCTGCAGCCATCTGCAGGGCCAGTGTAATCCCCAAAACCTAGGAGCCCCTTAGTTTTTCCTGTGTATCCTACCTCTGATCCTGCTAGCATCACACCCTTGTTACCCTCAGCTGGCTGCCCTTGCCCCCAGGACTGGCCCCCACCACTCCCCATTCCTCCCAGCTGTAAGGCATCTGTCTCCCCCTCCTACTTCCTTCCTCCTCATGTGCAGGGCCAGCCAGTCTGCCCGCCTCTGTCCCTGCCGCAGCTTGCAGCTTACGTGATCCTGACGCCACCCCTCCAGACTCTGGGTCAGCAGGCAGGACAGGAGTGTTCAATGAGGGCTCCGCCTGTGTACCTAGGCTGTTCTGGACATGTGACATAATCTGTGAGGCCGAGGCTTCCAGGGGACCCTGGGGCTCTAAACTACTGCCACGCTGCACTCCAAAAACCCAGAGGCTACAGTGTTTCTACAGGAACTGGAGTCTGATTCTGCAGGAAATACCAGAGACCCAAGAACCGGTTAAATGTCATCATCAGAGGCAATCAGCAAGATCCAAAGTACAAGAGGAGACATTCTAAAGGACCATACTTCTTTAATAAATAGATTCTAAGGGGGGAAAGGGGAAGGTGATAAGCAATAGTCTCAAGCAAAGAGGCTACTCAAAATTTAAAATGGAAGTGTGCATGTGTCGCACGCACGCTGGTACCCTACCACGTCTGGCTTTTGTAGCAGTTAATTGGAGATAAGAACCTCACAGACTTTCCTGCCTTGTCTGATTGAATTGTGATCTTCAGATCTCAGGTTCCTGAGCAGCTAGGATTATAGACATGAGCCACCAGTGCCCTTCTAAAATGGAAAATTCTTCAAGGACTCCATGGATTCAAAGAAAAAAAACCAACAGACAAAACAGAAGACAGCAGAGACACATCACAGAAAACGAGACCAGAAGGTCTCTGAGGAAAACCAAACCACTGCTCTCTAATGAAAGCTGCTGGCTCACAGGTGACCAACCTTGGCCCTGAGGGTCAGACCTGGAGATAAGAATTCTTCACAGGTTCCTGCTGTCTTTATTTATAACAGGTTTTTACTAGAAAGCACCGACTCCTTCCTGGGCCCCACACACGAACTAAAGCAGGAGAAGAGCTTGGCACCTCTCCTCTTGCTCCAAGCCGTTCCCTCCACCATCACTAGCAATCACCTTGGGCTGACACTCCCCGAGGAACCAGCTTTGCAGGATTGGCCCGGGGCAGAGAGGACCATTACCTGTAATGACCAGACTGCACCTGAGGAGGGAGAGCAGCCTCTTGGGAACCAGAACAACCCCTCAGATGAAGAGAAGGGTTCCCAGGGGATCCAGAACTGAGACAGTGACCAGGCAGCACCACCACACACCCGTCTCCTCCGGCCTCCACGCCTTCCTTTGTCTGTTTAAACCTCAGGCTCCTGAACTTCTGCATTTCAGCTGCTTCGTGCATCTTTCTCAGCCACACGGCTTCTTATCTCTTTATATCTTTTCTCTTCCTGGTTCTGTATCTGAACTATAGGAGTGAGTGGCTAGACTTGACATGAACTTCCCTAATAGACTTCCTTGTCACTTTCTCCCTCATCAGACACGAGGAGAGGGGAGAGAGCTGGGCTGATTTTCTGGTAATGGGAATCTATACATGTAAAAAGTTTTAAGAGTCCTGAGAAGAGCCACATGCAGAGGCACAGGCCTATAATCCCAGCACAAGGAAGGGCTGAGGCAGAAAGACTGATTTCACAGTAAGACCCCATATCAAAAGTAAATGAATAAACAGGTAAAAAGTCTTTAAGAAGAAACATATACACCAGACATTGTTTTTGGGTTTTGACTAGACTCTGATTTAAATCAATTAACTGAAAAGCAAGATAAAATGTTTTATGAGATAGATACTGGTGGCTCATGCCTGTCATCCTAGCTACGCAGGAGGCTGAGATCTGAGGATCACAGTTCAAAACCAACCTGGCAGGAAAGTGTGTGAGCCTCTTATCCCCAATTAACCACCAAAAAAGCCAGAAGAAGTAAACCTGTGGCTAAAATGGTAGAGGACTAACCTTGAGCAGAAAAGCTCAGGGACAGCACCCAGACCCTGAGTTCAAGCCCTAGGACTGGCACAAAAACAAAAACAAACTAACAAACAAAAAGAAACATATTCATTACCTGACTTATGTAACTGAAACCCCTCTGTACATCACTTTTATTTAAAAAATTTAAAGTTTTATGAAACTATTTGTATGCTGACTGCTATTAGGAATTACATTTTGATAAGATCACAATCTTGCTGTTCTGTTTTTTAAAAAGAGGCTTTTTTGAGATACACTCTGATATATTAACAATGAAATAAAATGTCTGGGAATTGCTTAAAGATAATCTAATTGGGGATAAACGAAATGTTACTGGTCACAAGTTAATACTTGTTCAAGCTGTGTGATGGGGAGTTCATTATTCCATTCTACTTCTAATATTTGAATTTTTTCCATAATAGAAGTTCAGCAAGAGAGTCAGATAGTGAGTTTGAGTCCAGTCTTAGACAAAGACAAAAGGAAGGTCAATTTTTACAAACAGAGAACAAATATGATTGAAAGTTTACCAATGGTTTTAACAGATGAGCCAAAACTCACGCCGGCAGGCGAGGTATCTTTGAGGCATGGCCCTTGACTTTGTCTTTTTTCTCCAGCTTTGAGGAGGTGTACTTGAGAAGTGTACACATTTAGGGTGGAGGGGGGATTCTGAGACATAGAGATCTGTCCACTGTGAG